ATCCCATCGCACTATGCTATTTTATGTGCATCTTCTAGTTTCTATCAGTCTAATTTAAATTAGACCAAACTTTCGTTCCGTTTTTTTTATTAGCTTTTATTTTTCATATAGCCAGTCCAGTTGAACGTTCGTCAAATTAACCTGTTAACCTAACCTGAAAATCACCGCGTCACAAAATGCCAGCGCTGGAGAGGGTAAAAATTTGATTTATGAAAGCAGACGGCATCGAGTTAGGTCAAAAGGTTAATTTGGGGAACGTTCAAGAGGGCTGTAGTTAGACTCTAACTGAGGTGGATATATTAAAAATAAAAGCTAATATAAAACGGAACTAGACTGGATTTCCGACGTCAAATTCTCACGTATGATCTGAACTTATTCTTGATGCTTTGTAAATTAGATGATAATTGGATTGTCTTGAACATGCCACAATCTTTTTGTATTGACATATTCATATATTTCTTTACACTAATGGAAATTTCATTAATTCTGTGGAAATTTTTAACCTTTTAACGCATGACGGCCTTTCCACAAAAGTTATTAGACAAATTGTGAGTGCAAAAAACAATACGATTAGACTTACATCAGAGCAATGCAAATTATTCGAAAGACAATATTTCATAGCTTGTTGCTCCTCGAAAAAATTGATAAACCCATCTCTGAAGCTTCGTTTTTCAACCAGGATTCATCGCCAATTAGCTTAAGATATCCGAATTTTTGACATCTATTTTGATATTTTCGGAACATTGAATATATTTCGTAGATTTACTGCTTTAGGATGGTATTCGTATTGATGTCAGTGACTATTTTTGTCCAGTGTATAGTGTTTAGTTGCAGTAATGGAGTCGGCTATCAGAATCTTTTTTCCGTGAGTGGGGGGGAGGGGATTATTTGACTGTACCTACCGACCTGTTAACAGTGCTTGTTTTTGATACAATTGTAACCCCCTGGATTCTGGTAATATGGTTTAATAGCATACTAACTTCTTTACCAAAAGAGTGATCACATAATGAACAACTGTCTTCTTCTTGGTTTTTAATAATGTATTGGAAAACATGTGTCGGGTTTCTCTTTATATCTTTTTTAAGAAAGAAAAAAGGGTTGTCTTAGCTATATAATTACTAAGCTAAAAGGAAGTATCAAAATGTCAATCTCATAAACTTTCCAACGCCTCATCTACTTCAATAACTGTTCTAGCATTTCATTATGACGGCAGCTGGTGAAGTTCTCTGGTATTTTAAACCAGTTTTAACAGTGTTAATCATTAAAGAGCTTTTATTTCTTACTGGTATGACGTCACAAACCTAGCATTTCAAAAGAAGGAAGAAAAGAAAAAAACAACCATTTTTACAAAGAAAACAACTTGAGTTCAAGAAGGTTCAATTTCTACCAGCACCTCCTGTCTATCCAAATGTTGGTTATTGGACTATCTTACCAAATGTACTGAATTGAATACGGAACTACTTTTCAAATAGATGTGAAAACTATCTGAACATTTATTTGCAATTTGGAATAAACAAACACATAAAATATGGCATAATTCTTTGAATTTTTTATTTTTTATTTAATATGCAATTTTTTTGTGCGGGACTGCTGTGTAATGGCGTTTTGCTCATGGAAGTTAACTATTTTCGAAAACAAGACAAAAGTGGTTTTTGTCGAGTACTAATTGATTGATTTCCAATAAAGAGTACAACGGAGTCATAAGTAAGCAGTCCTTCGTTCAAAAACACTTAAAAAGTAAAGCAGAATTCTTTCACGAACAGATAAACAGCATTTACATTTGTTACGCCATTGGAAGCCTTCTCTTTTTTATATATACGTTGACAATATTTTCTCCACATCTCCGATATTTTATCAATATTAACAGAACTTCAAAGGCCTGTGCTCCCTGCAACACAACCTATGAATTTTCAGCCCCCTCGCATTTTACCAAAGATAAAAACTCAATTGTATACAGGACTTAAACAATATTTCTTATGACGAACAGTATTGGAAAATGTTGTCAGTTGTCATTACAGCAGAAACAAATTATCATAGTTATCACATTAAACACACAAGAATACTCTTGCTTTGACCTAATCTTGGCTTAAAAGTGACAATTCGAATTATACACAAGAGATCTCATTTGTATAAGCATAACCGTCTTTTTATACCATGGTCCATTAAAAATACATTAAATAGCAAGAAAACTGGGATTATATGAATATTTATAAAATCATACTGTAAGAACAAGATGCTTTGAAATTCTCTCCGGATACGAATTATACAATATGTTAAGAAAATAGGAACAGCTGAATAGACTGTGAGGCGTCGTTATTTGATATTTTCATTAGTAAGGATTGAAAACAATCGATCTGAAAGTCACAGACAGACAGATTGGACAAAGAGATTAGATGAATAAAAGAATTATAGGTTAAGATATTACTATAGAGCAATATGTTAAAGGTAATACCAAGAGATATAGCATATCGAAATAGCGGTTTAGGTTTTTTTTCCATCGTTTAGAAAGAAAAACATTTATATTGTACGTCTTTCGGCAGCTGGTCTGCTCCTTATTTGGCTAATGCAACACCATACAGACAGTCGCCAGGTTTACGTCCGAGGAGGTGAGGGGGACGGGGGGTGTATATCTAACCTAGTTATGAGATTTTTGCCCGAAAAACATGCCTTTGGTGCTACGAGGGTGGCGACTGCCATGCTATCGGAACCAATTTCTTTCTTTATTAAGGAGATTGTAAAGAAGTTTTTCTATCTCTAGATGAGTATCTGGCACACTTATAGATTCCATTTGCACCGAAATACAATTCCTCTAAGTCAATAGAATGCTAATATAGAAAACGTTTAATCCATTATTCCATTAATATAATTGGAATGAATATCTCATATTAATATGAATTAAGCAATGTATATCATACACAAGGTCAGATTAACTTGAAAATTTACAAAAATCCAAAAACGTTGTAACCTTTTATCCCATAAATTGGATAGGTAACCTAATGACTCCATATAAGTTCGATAGATTTTAAAATTGATCTGAATGGTCAAAATCATCACATCAGACGGTCTGAGGACAATTGATTTATCTCATTACTTAACATCACAAATTGCGTCTGGAAAATAGAATTTAATTGGATGAGCTTTTATCAGAAAGGCTGATGCCTGAACCATTAACGTAGTAGACCAATATATCTATGACACCAGACGACTCGTCTTTTAAATTATCTCCTTTTAATATGTGTCGTATGTGTATGCCCTATAAGAACACTTCTGCGAAAAATTACCGCGAGTTTCACTTTGCAAACTTTAAAGGAATTTTGATGAATACAACAATATTTCCGATTCGAACTATCATTTATTCGACATCTTAAATGTATTATATCGTCGTAAAAAAAACGGAGTACTCTATCTGTTCAATATGTTTTGGTGTCCATGAACGACAAACATAGCCGTCCGCTGAAAAAAAAAACACAAAATGACACATCCATGAATTTTGTAGTATCTAATGATTTTTACAATTATAGTAGTGGATAACTCATTTAGAAACATCTGATGGTACTTCTCGTTGGGGGAGTCCACTACTATACACTTATTTCTCCCGATTTGTTCGTGCTTTGGACGAGATTTTTGGTCACTGGATTATTTTGCTTGTACAGATCTTTTTTTACTATATCTACAGTATGATTACATTCCCGGCTACTCATGGCCCAGATTTGTTCAAATTTTAAATAAACTTGGGCCAACTTCTTAGAAGTTTAATCCATAGCCAAACATCGCGACTTGACTTCTGTACTGTGCAGATGGTATGGTATCGATTAACACAAAAAAAAAGCCCGTTGACCTAACGACTGCCAAACGTTTAATGAGAAAAAGATATTCGTTTTGTTGTCACATGTACTTGTATGGATTGGGCTAATTATGGTCGGAGTGTCTCAGAAATAAAATATAAAGTCAGCCTAATAAGATTAAATCGATTTGTTCTGGCGGCAAATAAACAAATCAATTTCAATGAATTCTCTCGTTTGAGACAATGACATTTCCCTAATTAAATTCTTTTCCTGCCAGAAAAAGTTGGTTTCCAATCGAGTTCAACTGGAATTTAATTACTTTTAGTTTAACGTCTACTGAGAAAAGAAATATTCAATAGTTGTTGGTGAAAGGTAACTCATTAATTATACACCTTATAATCGGATTAAAAGTTTGGGAATGAAGAGAAAGGCTAGTATTGGATGTGTAATGATTGGTATTTGATATGTAATGATTGGTATTGGATGTGTAATGAAAGTTGCGTTAGATTTACATTACACATGACAGTAATATACAAAAATGTCTAAACTTATCCGAATATTGGACTGTTTTTGGCCATGTTATGATAGTAGCGTGCCACAGGCATAAAACATGTAATGGTTGCAACGGCACGAGGCATGTACTGACAAAAAACTATTGGCATTAGATATGTAATGATAGCAGAACACTATTGGCAATAGATTTGAAATTATAGCATGTATTGATAGATGTGTTCAATTGCTAAAAGACACGTATTGATAGTACTGTGCCACATTACTAATGTATTGATAGCAATGTATCATTGACATTAAACACGTACTGATGGTAAAGAAGCATTAGCACGTTACTTGTAAAGGTAGAAGAGAAAAAACTGGCATTAGACAGTGTACATTTTACATTACACATATACAAATGTAATGCCTGTAGACCTTCTCATCAGCATTAATGCTGTAATGATCACAGTAAACCATTTGCATAAGTATATCGTTAGAAAAATCCATGTAGTGACTGAAGAATACCATTGACATTAGACATGCACACCAGAAGAGTACCATTTGCATTAGATACCATAGGCATTAGATATGGACTTGTACCATCGAACATACCTTCACTAAATTGATGCCAAATCCAGCCGTAATGTTACATTCTCAAGAACGACATCTGGTGATAACATGTTTTTTTGTTGCTTTTTCAGAACCGGAACTGAATGATCTGAAATGGAGTCCGAAGCTGTTTTGGGAACTGTGATAGATTCAGTTGAAAGTGATGACGTAGAAAGAACAGATAACGTTCCAGTGTTATCGTGGGAGAACGGTGTTTGGGACGGTACAACCACTAATGTTAAAAAGGCGCCATTTTACCCTCGAAATCGCTTCATTTCCAAACGAACTTTAAAACGGTGCAGCCATATTGTGACTTTACTCTTGGGAATTCTATTAACATGTGTGGCCTTAGGACTTATTGTGGCAGGATCATTTAGATTACACGAGTGTCATCAAATTACAACATTCACGGTGAGTTTCAAATAACACTGAAATTTCAATATTCTTTTAATGTCACGACACTTTTTTCCCTCCTCTCTCTCTCTTTCGTTTTCCAATTGATTCAGGAAATTACTTCGAGAAAAGAGATATGTAAAATTGCTGTTAAGAGCGAGCGAAAGTTTGTCATAAGAAAACAAAAACACTTCGAAAATTGCGATTTCTTCTAAAGTTCATTTGAAGTTTTTGCAATTTTCTGATTCATCGATTATATGCTCTTGTTACTGAAAGCAAAAGTGTATGTAATGAACTGATTATCGATTTCTAACGCATCCATAAATATCCATCGTTCAGTCATTCAACTAGCCGAAAAGAAAACATGGTCAAATGGGATAACACAGAAGAGCTATTCTCAGACTTTTATGTGGTGAATAAGTATTATTGGAGAAATGGCCACTGTCTGACGTCTGTAACACATTTGATATCTAAATTACATTGGAGATGTAAATGGTGATGGATTGCCTGCTTTAAGAGCAGCGTTATTACCTAACGTTCAATTATTGTTGAATCATTCGAGAGTCGAGATATGACTGGGCTATTGGCTTTAATCTTGACTTATGTGGCATGATTTACAATGTCCTAGACGAAGTAATTAATACGAATCAATCACAATGTGATAATCATGCTATATCAAACGTTGGGGGAATTATGTCACTTCGGTAATATCTCTCTTTTAATTGCATTTTCTGTCCAGGGATGTCAGAACATACCAAAAGAATTTATATAAGCTCTATGAGCCATTTCCCAATAAAAACTTCCTAATTGAATGCTTGAAGTAGATGATGGTCGTGCGAATTAACCGAGTTTTGCAAAACGCTGCTTTTTTGTCCAAGTGGCCCAATGAACATCACATGTAAAGTTCGTTGGTATTTATAATAACTTAATACCTAATGGGTTTCATTATTTACTGAACTAGTTCATTCCCTTAAGTTATTAAAAACACAGTCGTTTATGGTATATCTGGAAGGTATGCTTAAAAACAGATTATCCAAAGTTAGCAACTTTAGTATAGAACAATTCTATTACTAAGACCTAGAATTTAGTTAATAAAACGAAGTTATCATCGAATGAATCCTAAAAATGATTGTACCTAATGAGAATAGCATAGTGAAAATCGAAAATAGCACAGTACATTGAAATGTCCCTTTGCAAGTGTAATGAAGCTTAATAACAACCACTGATGGTACCAGCTTTGAAAAAGTTAGAGAATTCGTGGAAATTGATTGACTTAATCTGTTTTTTATATTTAAAGATACAGCATCCAATAAAAGAAGATGTCAATACTAAAATAGGGGATAAATATTTTACTGTAGGTAAGTATCACCAAGTACACTTTATAAAGTAACCTGTTGGTTGGGAGTAACATATATTTGAATAACGCAACCTGAACAGTTCTAATTTTTTTTTCTATACGTGCGCTCAAATCACAGTGATCGCTAAGGTGTCACCTTTATTCTGCATATGCCTGCGATCAAATTTGTACTGTGACAAACCTATAAAACCTTATGAGTTGCCTTCTGAACACTATATTCTATTCGCAACCATGCGCAACTGGTGATCGCTATGGTGTGAGGGCTCAAGTTTAGTCAAAACAGTTTGGAAATTTGAAAAATACTAAGAGGCCGAATGTCATCAACTGAAGTCACAATAGTCTGTATTTCATGAATTGATTAACCTTTCGTCATGTCAGTCGCTGACAGCAGTACATTAAGTGTAAATGTATGTTAACTGCTTTCGGATTTCCACTGTGAAAGGTATCGTCTGGTAGCTCAAATTTAGTAACTAAATCGTTAAGCGACAAGCATCGCGTTGCCTGTGTTCATTGTATTATGAGAGACACTCGGCTACATTAACACCGGCCATGTTCTATGGATTAACAGGAGTCCAGCGTCCATTATGATTAGATCGGGTAAACATGTTTTTCAAATCGTCTTCCCCGTGATATGATGATTCATGTCTGAAAGGTTCCCGAAATATGGAAATCAAATACAGTAAGACCAGCAAAGTTTCCCAGAGTTTTGAACTCTATACGTAAAGTTGTTAACAGCTTCGTCAACTTCAGAAATTGTATGACAAACTATCAGACACGTATCACCAATATCAAGACATGTGGTAGACAGGTCTACTACACGCCTGTCTAGTTGTCTACACGCCAATCCAGCTGCCTACACGCCTGTCTAGTGATATTGGTAGATTGATTTTTTTGATGAAGTCACAACTTGCTAGGTTCTGACATGTATTATAACAGATGTGAATCAATTATTTAGACAAATTTCTTGTGCAATCTTCTTCAAACATAATCGTCCATGTCAAGTTAACACAAGTCTTGTACTAATGACAAGGTTATTTCGCCATTTCCTGCAATCTTCAGCATAATCGTGCATGTCAGGATAACACAATTATTGTACCAATGACAAGGTTATTTCGCCATTTCTTACAATCTTCAACATAATCGTCCATGTCAAGATAACATAAATCTTGTAAAAATGGTTATATCGCCATTTCATGTACTCTTCAACAAAAATCGTCCATGAAGGTTAACATAACTCTTGTAAAAATGACAAGGTTATATCGCCATTTCATGTACTCTTCAACAAAAATCGTCCATGAAAGTTAACATAACTCTTGTAAAAATGACAAGGTTATATCGTTATTCAGTGAATATCATAACACATTATATACAAAAACCAGCCTAACCAAAACTTGTGCCTTTTTAAGTGACTTTAGCTGACTGGAATTATACCGCATAGCACATGGAACATATCTATCTTTACTCACCAAACTATTCGTCCATTAAAGTTGATTTCCGAAACTTTCTAAATTAAAGATTTAATTAATATCTTAGAAAAATATTTTTAAAGGCGTATTGTTATGTTCTTGATTGGAAAACACCACTTTCGAAAATTTCAAGTTGACAGAAATAATGTTAGGTTTTGCAAAATAGAAACGACTAATATGAATGTGTACAAAGTTCTTATTCCAATGATTAATTACGAGATTTCCTAGCCTCGACCATATGGCCATCAAGATAGGAAATAGAATGTTACATTTCCAATTCCAACAAAGGAAGGGCATTCATAGAAAACTTTTGAAATGATATAGGAATGAATCTAATGGTTGAAATTTATTACATTAATGAAGAATCTGATAGCAGCAGGCTGGTAAAAATTATATAGACCAACTTGAAATCTAAAAGCGTTTTTCTTGTTTAAATTTATCTTCACGATGACAAGTTATTAAAAACTGCGTTGGTTTAAGTCTCTGGCAATGTTTTCCTCTTACTGAAACATACTATCTTTAATAAACCACAAAGGCAGGCAATCTATATTTAAAGAATTCCACTAGGAAACATTGCGTAAAGCCTTCCTTCCATTCTCTCTTTAATCGTTCAAGTATAAGAATTGTTTTCTCGAAGCAAATCAATAATTCCAACTCTTATTCAAACAAGAGCCTAACGAACCGTTTATTTACACGTTTAACTCAGATTAAATCAAAAATAATGCGAAGAAGGGAAACACTTAAGTAATTTATGGTTACAAAAAACCTCCTTAGCAATTACCTTATTACGGTCGATTACTCTCGGTTTAATCACGACTAGAGACATTATTTCATTAGTAACTCTCCATTATTCATAACCTTAAAAACGTGAAATGAAATGGAACGTAATGGAGGTTTACGTTTTGTTGTTGAAAGACTTAGAGACGGGAGTTTTGATAAGAGCTGTAGTACCAGATCTCCACCTCTCTCCTTTAGGCGTCCTTGCACATTCGTTGAATGATCATCCAACATGCAAAGTTCCATTATTTTCAACACCGAAAATGTGTCACCTTAATTTGATCTATTTTTCGGTTTCCATCTGCCGTAGGTTCTTCATGTACTCACTTACACACAGAGCCTTGAGTTTTCATTCAATCTAATAATTAGACGTCACATCTACAGAGACTAGAACAAAAGCAAATTGTGCTCTGGGTATTCATTCTAATCAGACAGTCTACGAGTGATATTACTTTCTGTGAAATATTATTGAAAGTAATTTAGTCTAGTCACACGGAATATTTTGACAAGACTTTATACACTTGTCACAAAGTTGACAAGTAATTTCCCACAGATCGCAGTATTTCTAGTTATTAAATTACGTGACTGTCATAACCTCTTGTATAGTAATTTGTTCAACCATTTCCAATTTTATTCTGTTATAGATCAGCTTGTGAAACTCAATAATTACGCCTTTAATAAACCTGCCAAGCAGTCATCAACTGACAGAACGAGTGATTATTTACCGGAAGTGGATGGTGATGCCAGTCTCGCAGTAGACGGAAGTTTAGATACGTGTTCAAGAACAGGTATCGTTTTGACATTCAAGTCCCCTGTAGTTCAGGTTGAACTATGAGAGCGATGGATTTTTCTTTTGTTTTCCATTCATCGTATATCGACTAGAAATGAAAAAGTGTGTCTTTTGAAACAGTAAAACAGTCTACAAGCTACAAAAATGATCTGTCAAATAGCTCTTCTGACATTGCTGAAGTTATACCGATTTGTTCAAAATATTCACACAAAGTGCTACCCAAGAAAAGTTTCTTGACACGGTTTCATGCGATGTCACAATGTCCCATGACCTATACTGAATACTAAACTTATTTTAACAGACGGACAATCATCACCATCATGGCGTGTAGATTTTGGTAGATTGATGCCAGTAGGCAGCATTCGGTTATACCTAAGTAATTTTACATGTAAGTATCAAATTGTGGTCCACTCATGCTTCTGCATTGGAAGGTTATATGGCAATATTCTGATATTGAAGCTGTTCATCAGTTTTTGATTTTAATCTTGATGCCGATAACACTGCATGTTTGATTGCCTTGATGACGATTAAGGATTCATAACTGCATTGTTCCAATTGATTTTCTTATTCTTGTATTTAATTGCTTTAAATTGCGTTGGGATGGTCTTATAGCTTTTTCTGATGGTGGTGATCGAAGCTTTTGCCTATGAAGATTATGGAGACTAGTTTAACAAACTTTTTTCCTTGTGAGCTAATGAGGACGAACAACATCAGACTATGAGGGAAAATGAAATGAAATGAATGGGGTTTTACGTCCTACTTTTTTGCACCATTTTGGCTAATGAAGACGAGACTATGAGGGAACGGGATGGTTTCTGTGGCATTAGCCTTCATTGACGATTTCCAACTGACAGAGGTTTCTAAAGTACAGACAGCTTCTGATCCCCATCAGGACAATTATAGAGCAAGTGCCAGCCCAATTCATTAAAGAATCGAGATCAAAGCTGCTTTCTCTCATTGCAGATGATGATAATATAGATATATTTGTTGGAATGAGTAAACAGATAGTAGAAAATAGATTATGTGTTCGACATCATCATGGCACTAGAACAGCTGTACCAGACATTAGATTACAGTGTACATCGGAACTTAGTGGAAGGTAAGATAAAGTGATAGCTGTAGCTTAGCAAACAGGTACTGTGTCGTGTCAAGGCTCCAAAAACTAGATCACGGAAAGTGAAAGAACATAGAGCCTATATTGATGGAGTTTGCCCATTTTGCATTGAATTCCACAATTATTCAATCTGGACTGTTTTGAGACACCTGCAACTAGATTTTACAAGGATAACAACTTAGGTTCACAGTTAAGGATCCTTTCTACCAGCTAGTTTGGGAAACTCCACTAAGTGCAAAAACCAAAGCCAATCCAACAGTGGGAAGACCTTATAGAATTAATTACCACCTTCGAGTATTGATCTGGACATTAACTACATTTTAATAATATCATGCAACAACTTTATACAATATCTCGAGTACTATTACGCTGTTAATCTAGTGTATTAATTTTCCCTACTGTCAAGAAAATGTAATAATTTGGTTTCAGGTATCTAGGAATCATATTAAATATGAATGGAACTATCGATGATATGAAAGTATTGGTATTATGTGAAGTAATGGTATTTGGTCGTTAAAGCATCGTTGTAATGCTAATGTTAAGATGAAAGTATTGATAATGGTGAAGTAAGGTTATTTGGTCTTCAAAAGCATTATCATAATATTAACGTGAAAGTATTGGGATCGTTTAAACATTAATATATTGCTGTCGATGATATGAAAGTATTGGTATTATGTGAAATAATGGTGTTTGGTCGCTTAAATATTAACATAATGAAAGTATTGTTATAATGTGAGGCAATTGTGTTTAAAGTACTATTATAATGATGGTGGTAAGATTAAAGTATTGGTCATAATAAACATTAACTTAATAATGATGGTAACATGAAAGTATTGGAAATGTGAAGTAATGGTAATTGATCAATAAAAAATTAACGTAATAATGATGGTAACATTAACGTAATAATGATGGTAACATGAAGCATTTGTATTAAGTGAAGTAATGGTAATTGATCAATAAAACATTAACATAATAATGATGGTAACACGAAGCATTTGTATTTAGTGAAGTAATGGTAATTGATCAATAAAACATTAACGTAATAATGATGGTAGCATGAAGCATTTCTATTAAGTGAAGTAATGGTATTCGGTCGTTGAAACGTTAACATAATATTGGTAACATGAAAGTATTGGTATTATTCGTACGTGTAATGGTATTTGGTCGTTCAAAACATTAACATAATGAGAACGTCAACAGAAAGTGTTGGTATTATGTGAAGTAATGACTTTGACCTTTAAAATATTAATATTATGCTGATGGTAATAAGGAAGTATTGCATTATGTGAAGTAATAGTAATTGGTCGTTAAAAGCATAATGGTAACATGAAATTATTGGTATTAAGGATGGTGAAGGATTGATATTTGATCGTTAAAACGCCTAAAATAATGATGATAGGAATGATAGCATGATAGTAATGGCATTTGCTCGTTAAAAAACCTTAGCATAATCATGATGGTAGCATGATTGGTATGTTGTGAAGAGGTGGTACTTGGTTTCAACGTCAAGGCAACAATAATTAAAAGACCGAATGTTATGGACGTAAGATATGAATGCCATTGATATTGAATTCGAGTGGAAACATAAAGCCTACAAGCCTATGACACTTAAGGGGAGAATTTGATAAACGACTGCCGGATTCTATGTTCGGCGAAGGTTTTGAAATGAGTGATCTTCAATACCATTTTGCGTGAAATTTTGGAAATGTGATTTTGTTTACATATTTACAATTACCACTTATTGCTATGTTTACGTAAACACGTTATCGTTAATTGATGTAGAACCGTTGCTGAAAACGTACGACACGGACCTTATAGGCAAACGTGGAATACAATGAAACTTAAAGGTTGTGTTATTTTATTTCATCATTTAATATTTACAAGTTTTTTTCTTTTATATATATGAATATTCTTGGTTTATCATGGGGACTTTGCCATTGGTTGTTCAATTTTGCACCCCTTTCATAATGTTTACATAGCTGATTACTGGATGAAAAAAAGAAATATTTTGTAACATCAGGGTACAAAATTGATTGAACATTACTAGCGCTGATTGTCCTGGATTACTTTTTTAGGGAAATTGATTGATTGACCCTCCTTTGTCAAAAACTTCAATTGGAAGTGAGTAGATTAACATGTTTGAAATTGAACAAGTACAGTAAGACTTTTTTTTCAGAACGCTGGACGAAAATACTTCCATAGAGAATTTCAAATCATTGTTAATAATTCAAAGCGAAAAATTTCCTTAGACATTGTCAGACCATCATCATAAGAATAATACACAGACAGTGTTCTATCAAATCTATTTACATGAAATATAAATGTCAACTATGTCAGCTTCTATCAAACATGATAGGTGTATAAAGAAAAATGCCCACGCATCAAGAATCGAATTATATAACGCTAGTATCATATTACTGTACATAATCATAGAAAATCTGTATATATTTCTTCTGTATATGTGAATTTTATAAATTAAATTGGAACGACGAGTTCGACTGTATTTCTATATTCAACAGCTAACTAATTTCCCAAATCTAAGTCCCGGTATAGGTCGAGATAATACCTTTGGATTTTTCAACCCGGTTTCCCCATGTCAGTGATGCAGGTAAGAGGGGCTGACATGACTCGTCTAGTCGTTCGGATAGGACAATAAACCTATTGTGAAGGACTGTTGGATCGAAAAAGAGTAGGCTTATGCCGCCGCCCTGGCATAATTTCATTGTCGTTGTCCGTCTTCATTAGGCCAATTAAGTGCAGAAGAGTAGGACGTAAACTCGCAATGACATAAGAGGCACCGATAACAAATTTCAGCGATTTAGACAGCAAGCAAGCATTTAAGGACATGCTGTTAGTGAAGAACTTAAAATTTGGTAATTAAATTCAAGTAAGGCCGTCTGCTTGAACTATCTGTAAAACGCCTGGCGCCATGTGCACACAAAAATGAATCATCATTTTAAGAATCATTTGTGACATAAAAAATAAAAGAATGGTTTTGCTTGGATACAGATTTAACAATATCTGTTATCACCTAATGAATTGTCAAAAAGCATTATATAACATGAACTATTTCTCATATCATCCAAGTGAACTTCAAGCGTGGACACCAAGCCTCGGAAACCGGTGCTCTTGGTAGAAATCGGGCATTGAAGGTGCGATATTTCCGCAAAGAGCGCTGACAATAAAAAAATCTCTAAGCAATTACAGTATCCAAGCAGTGGCTAAACTAGATAATTAGTGGGGTGGGGGCGTGAACTTAATAGGTTGTGCAACTCTCCAAGGGATGGTGACCCCTTAGGGTTGGGGATCGTATACTTGGTTTCACCAGTCCCTATGGTAGTTGAGCCACTGTATCCAGGAAGATGTTTACGATTTCACAGACGAACTAATGAGCCAGTGTTTCCAATAACATAACTACTCCTGCACTAACTTATAGACATCTTTTCTATCTAATTGTATTTATGGACCATTGAGGTAATGAAGAAATCGTGTAATACGATTGTGATGTGTTTTAAAAATATTTTTATTCAATTTAACTCGCATGTAGACTAATCCGCGTTTCTATTGGCACGTAAAACTTTCAGTCGATGGGGATCGATAGGAATGGTGTGTAACATTTCATTATCTTAATGAGAAAACCAAATACGGTTATTATGAGCCTTTGTTGTGTTATCTGCAGGAATTAATGAAAAGCTTCATGTGTACGAACGTTTTATGTACGGTCAAAGCATGTTTGATATTACATTAAAGCCCTGGCTGTAACATTTTGATACGAAGTTAAGTCCAGATTTATCTGCAAAAAGAAAACACAAAACAATAAATCAGTTAGTTGATGAAGTAAGACATCGGCAAAGTCAAGGGAACGGACACCTTTTTTTATTAAAGGAACACGTTCGCCATTCGTGCAACCTTCCAAACCTTAGTCTCAGAAATAAGAATGTTTTTAGCCAAGCTAATTAGTAATAGTGTTCACAGCTCATTGTCGAAATCCAACTTTTTAAATCCATCCATCCAGACTCGTCTTTACTTGAGACAACGCCATATATAGAAAAGACATATATATATATACATAAATATGAAGACCATTAGATATTCAAGACCCACACCAGTCCCCGAAAATTTCGAACCGTTAAAAAGTCTATGCAAGGTTAGCCTACGCCAATACGTGCACAATATACTCGGTGGCCAAGCTGAAAGCAAAACACAGGTGTGGAATAGTAAATATTCTATTTGAATACGTGCGTGAAGTCACAAGCACTTCTGATAATATCGAGAATAATTTTCATCTAAAGGGAAATAACTTGAACAGATTTTTGAAAAATGACTATATCCATATCATAGTCACAAAAGAAGTCATAGACTCCGTCGTCTTTGAATCATTATCAAAACCTGACTAAATCAATGATGGAATGTATACATCGTATTTTATAGCGTACCTGGTTGCTACCTTTTAGACAATGTACGTTACACAATTTTTACCATGGAACCTTACCAAGTTTAATCGAAATATGTTTACAATTTAACGTGGGCAAGATGAAATATCAAAACGATCAAATGTCGACATTCGCAGTGAACAGAGTAGAGACAATAGGATTTTACAGAACTGGGTATGCATAAATATGTCTTTTGTTATAATGCAATGTAATAATGCATATGTAAATTCTATAAATTCATCTTTGGTCATCATGATTCGCGAAGACAAATCAAACACCATTCATTTGGAATGTGGTTGAGAAGACAGTTTGTGACTGGACACATCAATAAATGACACATTGGAACGGAGTCTCCGAGAGATATAATAACATACTAAATACACCACAAATGTTATTCCCTACCACATATTACTGAATCCACTGGTTCATCTGATCAGTCGTCTGAAAAGAATATGTCTGGAAAAAGTCTTTTGAACGTCTTAACTAACTACTGTCAACCTTCAAGCTAATGTTTTTATTATGGTATTTAAAAAGTCTGGTCGTTTAAAAGACAAGAGATAGAAACTTTACTGTCAGGCGTCAGACAGATGTGAAAAGTGTTTATTTAGAAATGGTAAGCAGTCTAAATTCATTAAGAATGTTTTAAATTCAAATGAAGAATGGTTTCTGGAAAGGTAGGCCATTTTTTGACCAATCATACTTTAGTCTCAGAAACTGGAATCTTTTAGCTAGCTGATCAGAAATAGTGTTTACAGCACACTGTCGAAATTTGAGCCTTCAAATCGATGTGCGTCCAGAATAATCGTCATTTTAAGATACTCTGTGATATAAAGAAAAGACATATACATTCCTAGTTCGAATTATTTTTAAAGGAATTATGTGGTTTTGGTACATTTCTAGCACTTCTGAAGACTATTTATTTAAGACTGAAACCAACCCCCAAAAATGGCGCACCTGTCTCTTTAAACTTATGCTGACGACGGTTTCTTGATGCTCTTGATAATTGGTTAAGAATTAAATTAACGTGAAGTTTTAGTGAGATTTCATGATTAGTCAATCCTCCATAGACTTTTACCAGCAAGAGACCAAGAAATTGCCAAATGAATTAGCGATGATTTTAAAAACTGTTATCAATTTGAATTGCATTAAATGTTTTGTATATGTGTACATTACAATTCTTCTCGTGGTTGTGCGAATAAATTTGGTCACATCATTATACTTAAAACAAATTCAATTTCGGTTTTTCCTGGATTAGTCAATCCTCTGAAGACTTTAGCCAAAAAGAGATCTGGAAATCAGATTGAATTACATTGTTTTTCAGGTGTATTTCTCCAAAACAATTCTTATTGTGGTCTTACAAATGTGAAACAGTATATGGTAATTTTTCCAAAGTAATAATGGAATCCTCATAAACGATTCTAGATCGCAAATCTCCATAATTGGATGTCAGTTAGATTTTTTCGGGGTGTGTGGTAACAATATTAATTTCGAGATTACTGCAATTTACTATTAACTAGTTAAGCTAGAAACAAACCAGATCGACAAAAGCAGGCTAAGATCAGCAATATCTTCTAAAAGTCCATTATTTGGAGATTTCACATAAAACTTGGGTTAAACTCATATAGGAATTTTAAAACATAGCCTATGTAAAAGAATCAAATTAACAGATAGACATTTAATAACTGTATACACAAGTTGATTATCTTTTACTAAAATGAAATTCAATAGTATTAACTGGCCTAAGGTGCGAATAGACGGGGTACGGTGTCCGTTGTGGAGAACGGTGCGGGATTATCGATACAGTAGAAAATATAAGAAACGTGTCCGAACCCGTACCCGTACCTCGTGTGTTCACCACTTCGGATTTCGTTTGTATCGATTATCCGGCATCGTATACCGCACCGGACATCGTTTAATCGCGGCTGTAGTCAGACCAAATAGTTTTTTCACAGGTTTTCAGAATGGATGAATATTACTATGAATAACAAAATGTATGAAAATTTAACAATCCATAATGAAATCAATATTTTCTATTTCATCGAATCAAATGACCTAGAAATATTAATATAAACAGAAAACATTTGACAATATGCTTTCGGATATTTCCTCTTTGCAGAGAATCTATTCTTCTGAAAGGTCAAATATCAAAGGCAGATGTGGCTACAAGTGAACACAAAAGAGAAAGCTCGACAAGCATCCGCTTTCCATTTTTTTTAGTGGTCGCCATTTTGCCTTTGCAACCTAAAATGATGCTTTCGTGTATGGTGTAGAATAACCTTCGGGCGACAAATTACTATAGCAGGAGATTGTTTCGGGGATACATTTCTTACCTTTTTTTGAACAGTTTCTAGCTCCTGTGGATTTGGCTTCATGTGTTCTTATAAACAGTATCAGTTTAAATCCTACAAGACCGTTTTAACAGTATCATCTGAATATATAGACCGAAACAACTATTTCTATTCCAGCCTCTGATGACAGTTGTTTCGGCCTAGATATTCAGATGATACCAAATTTATACTGTTAGTACTAAAATAGATAGGTATTTGAGGCTGGAATAGAGGCAGATGTTTCGGACAACTGAATATCATGTAGTTCTTTTCAATTCTATTAAATACTAATGACAGTTAACGGAAGAGGTATAATGTAAAAATAAGTATATATCTAGACGTCCAACAGAAAGTTTCCTTTTCGATTTTGATTGGTAATTTAAACAACATTGTTTTCGATAGACTGGCATGTCCTACTTCAGCACATAGATCTATGCCAACATCCGAATAGAAATTTAAAAGAAACACTATTGATACAAATTGGTATTTATATTGATAAAAGTGGTCAGTACTGAACGCAACCCACAACTCCGTTGCATGAGACTTGCTTTCGAAACTTATGACCGCTATTCTTATTCACAACCAAACGCAGTTGGTGTAAGGGTACCTTACGATTTCATCTCCCGTTGCGAGACTTTAAATCGAATATGAGCAGAGTTTCTATGTTTGTGAACCAATATTTGCTTGTAAAGTTTAACAAGTTTTCAGAGCTACATTCCAGCTACCCTTGCCACTTTCAAACTTTAAGAACGATAATAATGACAAGGATTCAATGGTAGATACACTAAAAGCGATATTTTCATTTGAGAGTTATTATAAAATAGTTCTGCTTGCTGGTGAAATTATCTGCCAATTGGTTGGTTCCATTCAAGAACAATTTAACCAATCCCTAACAATTGATTTAAAATAGCAGTTAACAGTTGGCTTAATTCTCCAAGAGTGATTTTCTGCGTCAGGACACACTATTTCTAGTTTTAATTTTAAAAGATAATACCTTATTGAATCTGGGAAGGTCTTTATTGATGACGTGTCACTGTAAATAAATCACAGTGAGAATTCTAATAAATCCCTCTCAATAAAAACCTCGACTTTTAGATTGAAGACTTAATCGAACGGTCCAAAATCATTGTGATATCCACACTAATGACGTGGACTTTCTATCTAATAAAAGTAAATTGAAATTCTAACAATCGTGCGAAACAAACCGTCACCTAACTCAATTCTTTTATTTTCTGTATTCCCTGAGTTGAATCTATCAATAAATTACTTAAACCAGACCCCAGTTTTAATATAGCCAATGTAATTCACGTAAGATGTTTAAAATACAATCTATAGCAGAACACTTTGAAGTCTTTGAGCCAGAATTCGTTTGTAGTTTTAGCAACAATGGTTACGTACAGATTGAAATTGTACTTCAGAAATATAATTCGATTGCTTTAAACAACCAGATTAAAGATAGCTTGCCAGGCAAGATAATATAAGCCCACTGGCAGCTTTGATTTTGAATAAAAATATTTAGCAGTACAGTAACAATCACTAGTATGAAATATTCCACCTTCAGTCATACACTTTTTGTAACTCTTTAGGGCGATACTGAATAATATTGAGTAAGAGTTATTGCTCTTGTTCTTGAAAACGTGTTCAATTTTTAGCTTGTGAGAACTTTAGAAGGCAAATATTCAATCTTCAGCGCGGTACTGAATTATATAACCAAGTTTTGTCAAATTCCAGCAAGAACCATGCCTTTTAGAGTTTAAGAGCTAAATTTGAAAGCGTTTTCAAGAACAAGGGCAATAACTCATACAAAATGTTTTATGTGGGCGTTTAAAAACTATATTTACAAGGATAACAACTTAGGTTCACAGTTAAGGATCCTTTCTACCAGCTGGTCCTTGGCCAAACCTCTTGGCATTGATCATTTCCGGATTATCCGTACCCATTTACAGTCGGATTCAAGGTCATCGAGATCGGGACCCACAGCCAAATCTAACAAACTAAAAATTTAACGTCATATTTTTTTGCACCTGTTTGAACTTAGGAAGAACAGGCATTTTTTATTTAGTTAATTTTAAGTCATTCCCCACACTATCGAAAGATTTATGTGTGACATATTTCAATTTGAATCAATCTGAAATGTTCTGTTAAATACCAGACGATATATCCGTGAACAATTACTGCTGTGATTACTAATATATTCTGTAATAGCAGACAACGTGAAACACTCGTCACACAGGCACCATTGAACAGAGTTAATGGAATGGTTATATATGTATATATACGGAGTCAATATCTCACAATAATCATTTTATGTAATGTCTGTCTACACGCAACGAGAGTTTACCAACATCTTTCTTAACAACTGGTGATTGACGACCGACATCTGGATGGTTAGTTTGATATCAGCCAGTTCCTGGTTAGGAAACGGGCGAAATGGCAAATCAAGGCTATCAATTCAGTGAAAAAAATGACAGTGAACTGTCATAATGAATGATAAGATATGTTTTACCATATAAATATTCAAGATAAGGTCGTGATTTCTATCTATCTGTCACCCGTCGGAGATCAAACATGTTATTTCTCGCAGTTGCCATCTTAGCCACCATTGTCCATGCCAGAGTGGCACCCCGTATAACCATTGAGAAACGTAAGTAGAGTTCTGGTGGCGGTCAGAACGAGACGGTCTTGGCGCTAAGATGTCCTTGTAACACTGTTTCTAGGATATCCTAACGTTAAGATCGTCTCGTGAATATATGGCCAGGATCGTATTCACATTAAAGTCTTTACAGAACAAAAAAAAAATGTAAATTGCTTAGGCTTACATTTTAAGGTTCCAAAGCTATTTGACATTAACGTATGGAAAGTCACATGAAGACGATCGTTTGGTGAGTTCTGTACGTTTTGGATTGATTCATGCAATCAATTTAAAGTTTAAAACAACAATTTGTAGCAGGGTTCAGAATATGTTCCACCTATGCCGAAATAAACTTAGAAATTCAAAATGGGACTGGAAAGGAAAAAAAAGGTAAATTATTAATGAGATATATCTGGTTCCGTATCGTTCCATTGAAGACAGAAGATCTGTTCAGAACTAACCAATCGAGCGACACCCAAAGTTCAGCCAAACTGCCTTATAACAGAAAGTTAGTCCCACAAGTTCAATAAAAACACCTTCTCTGGAAAAGCAACATGCAAAATTACAAATTTTAAGAAGAGAAATATATATTTTTGAGACCTTTTTTTTTCATCAAAAGAGCACTTGTTTGTTCTGGACCTGAACATTTTCTTTCGTTCTTACCAGTCAAAATATGATCGTGGAAAAGTATGTGTTTTGCATTTTGCTTTATTATTTAGGTTCAACGAAATGCTACGGAGATTTGGGGTGTTTTGGTACGGGGAAACCATTCTTCAGTGTACAAAGACCATTGAACATATTACCGTTATCACCAGAGTCCATCAACACCAAATTTAGACTGTATACTAGAAAGAACTCTAAATCAGAACACCTACTGACATATGGAGATGTCAGTACCCTGCATGGATCACATTTTAACCCAGCTCATCCAACGAAGATGATATCTCATGGATTTATAGAGAACGGACGAACAAGTTGGATGGGGGTAAGTGCCAGTCGTCAGTGTGATGTGTCAATCTTAAAAACCTAATTACCCAAATCGAACTAATTGATTCGAGCATATTGTGTAATCTATATATACACATTTTTTATATCAAATTTACGAATACATCTACTTCCGGTTACAAATGTTTTACTTCCGGTTTCAAATGTTATACTTCCGGTTATTTTCTAAATACGTAAAAAAATTTAACAAAACTAAACTCGATTTTCCATTTTAAATACGTTTCTCAAATCACAACGAAATCTTAATTTGTTCTCGATAACGATTCTGATAAATCTGATAAATTTAACGAAAATCCAAGATAAAAATGTCAAATGCATAGCATTTCTCTTCCTTCGGGATTAGTTTGGAGTATTTTTAAAGGAATTACATTAAAAGTACATTTCTAGTACTTCTGAAGACTATTTACATATATTAAAGACTAAATTCAACAACCCATAAATGACACATCTGTCCCTTTAAAACATTGTGAAAAATGCGAATCAGAACCTACAGTAATAATCGAAGAGAGGATTATTTTCCAGAACTTTGACTATCTTAATTCCAGTCTACATATCTTTAGAGGTAAAGGGCAAAGTCGGTAAAGCTGGGCATAGTTATTCAAATTGCGTCAGTAGGCTTTAGTACCAGGTGCGATTTTCCCACAACCTAATAAAAATAACAGATTTATACAAGGACTAGATATAATTATCTAACTGATATAGTTCAGCGAGTTTCGGGTAAGTGTAAAGGTGAAGAGGTCAGAGGCGTTTAATATAATCAGTATATTGAATAATACTTATTACTAATCACAGTTATGTCATTTGACTACTGAAGAGAAACATTAAAGACGCACATTAGCAAAAAAACATAAGATCAATTTGAATTGATGTACAAGGCTTGTAATTGTTAAAATTCTTACGAAGAAACACTAAACATATTATTTTCAATAATTCTTTTCAATTAGAAAAACCCCAGAATCATGAAATACGCCAACAAAACAGATAACTACAAAAAAATGTGTCGACATTGATAGGGTCAATCATCACCAAAATCAATAGGGATCACCACTGATACGAACATAAACACCAACATTGAAACTCTGGTGTCAGTATAGAAATGTGGGCGTATAAAATCATCTGATCATCACTTATGTTTTTACATTCTGCAAGTGAGCAAAAGCTCGGTCGGACAGACCCTCTGAAAATGTGACAATATGGATGGATTTACATTTTCTTCCATTTATTTAAATTTCTTAGCAAGCTTAGCAAGCTTCTGAGTAAATACGACGATGTAACTCACTACAGACTCTGGGTAAAAGAAAACAATCCTACCTTCTATTCACTATAATAAGAGTGTTAGCTGTTTCAGCGCACAATATTCAATCATTTATATTTATGAGTTGATTTCAACATTAATAAACACTTTCAATAAAACACTTGTTTATGATTTCACCACAAATATAATGTTTTTATGCATTGTCCTATTTTTTACTAGAACTTCTAGTTAATAATTATTGTATTGCGATCCAACACAAGTTTTTACACGTGTTTGTTTTACTGGTCAGGGTTTGACCTAAATCGAGACAATGCACGTGCAAGTGATAACTATTTACTTCGTTTGATGTTTCGAGTTGGGATAAGTGAAGCTCATAGGCTGCTAGAGCGTTTAACCTTTGCTCGCAGAGGTATTACTGATAAAATTTTTTTTGGTCGTGGGGGTTGCTTTTGACGACCTAACTTAGACTAACTTTCTCAGAGACTCTGTGATTTGGGGGGTTTTTTAAAAAAAAGGGGCTTTAGCTATGCAATAACATCAAAACAATGTCCACCTGTTTTCTCTAAGATTAAGTTTGGCTTTCATGCTACAACAAATTGCTGATACTAGACCATGGACTTCCGCGAACACACATTTTAAGCAATTTATTTCTTTCAAAAATCAAAGGAAAAAATGCAATTTCTGTTACAAATCCCGGCAAGGGATTCTAAATACACTCTTTAAATAACACTTACTTATGACAGCGCACCTTTAAAGTAAAGTAATATACCTAATATGTAGGTCTGGTGTAATGGTTACTAAGCTAGATCTCATAATGTTTAGGTCAAATTATATTAGTTTCACTGACCACAAAACCACTTTGCACCACTAAAACGTTCTATGAAATGAAATCTGTAAAATGTGCCCTGGCATTTGGACTATTTTAAATTAAAATGGTAGACTATAAGATTGGTGGATATTGTAGAGATTTCGTGTGATAATTTTTAACTATTTGGACACACGTTTCTCAAAAGGTTATTGGTGTAATGAAACTCTTTCGAATAGCTGATCCATTGCATTAGGACTTGATGGATAGCTAAAAAAAATAAATACTCGATTTTCGTTCAGGATATTCGAATTATTTTCATCAATGCAACTTTTTTCGTCAGATGTGCGTACCACAAATAATTTTGTGAATATATTTGGAAATACCATTTCGTATTGAGAGACTGTTGTCAGCGAAAAGAATACTATTCTGCAGTTAAAAGAATATCGTCAGCGTAAAGAATATAATTTCGTCAGCGAAAAGAATACAACTCTGTCAGCGAGAAGAATACAACTCTGTCAGCGAAAAGAAGACAATATCGTCAGCGGAAAGAATACAACTCTGTCAGCGAAAAGAAATCAACTCTGTCAGTGGAAAGAATACAATATCGTCAGCGAAAAGCATACAATTTGTCAGCGAAAAGATAATGCTGGACATTAGTTTATGCAAATTCAAACAGAATCCAGTCGATCAAAAACATTGGAAAATTTTTTCACCGCCTTATAGAAAACAGATTACCCTAACCATCGACTACTCCATCATAGGCGAAATGTTAGAAAAATATTTTAAACAGTTCTTTTTCTATCTGTATTTTAAACTACATTTGATTATGAGTTCAACCTATAGCGTAATGGGGTGTACTAAACGAGGATTAGTGTGTTTTGGACAATTTATGAAATTTTTCTCCAACTTATGTTTCTGTGTATTGAATATTATCTGTTTATGTGTGATATTTTGGTGTCGATTATTCTCTACCTTATTTGCTTATCTTTATTCTCTATTCACTTATCTTAATATCGTGATTGAATTTTTAAATTTTCATTTGCTGAAAACCTGATTGTGTTTGGTTTTTTTTAATTTTTATTTGGCTTAAAATTTGTGATTGTGAATGGATTTTGACATTTAATTCTCCTAAAATCTTTATTGTGATTGGTTAATTTGGCTTAAAACCCTGATTGTGATTAGATTTTTTAAATTTGATTTTCCTAAAATCTTTATTGTGATTGAATTTTTAATTCTAATTTGGCTTCTAACCCTGATTGTGATTTTTTAAGTTAATTTTCCTAAAATCTTTATTGTGATGGATTTTTAATTTCAAGTTGGCTTAAAACCCTGAATGTGATTGGAATTTTTGTGATTGTGGTTGAAAACTTGACATTTAATGCTTGAAAAGTTTAAAATACATTATAATTAGAACCTAATATTGATTCATCCATTAGTTTTAAACATCGACGTGCAGGTTAACTAGAATTTTTTTAACCTACTTGGGATTTGAATTTTTTTAAAACTAGTCGATACTAACCGATACCTAGTATATTTAATTGCATGTTAAATTCGATGTACAATTTTGAATTAATACGAAGTCTTTGAATTATTGATAGTTTTTTATTTATTTTCCCCAACATACCATTATTACAAGAAAGTAAAGGTATTTCAGAGATCGTGGCGACAGAAAAGTGGAAGAATCAAACCCGTGGAATATTGAGACCACAAGTGCATTTCAGATGAGGGAAAGGTTGACTCATAGAACTGTTAAGCCACAACCCATATTTAGGGGTTTTCAATCTTAGAACCATGTTCGAGAAATGATGCAAAACTCAGTGTGCAGATTTATGTATTGTAGAAAATGAAAGATGAGATGTTGAAACATGGTGATTATAATGTTATTAATATTGACTGGGGCAGTGGATCATTACCTCCATATACTCAAGCTACAGCTAATACCAGAGTCGTGGGTGCTGTGGTAGCTAGACTCATCAAATACCTTCAGGTAAACAGCTGAAAATGCTTTAGCCAGTGGATGGGTAACAGCACAGCTCCTATCCACACAATATTGCAAATGTGAACGAAACGTAATTTCCGATAGCAATACTGCTGCTATCTGATTTAAATCTTGTGCAAAGATAGCAGGCTGCTGCGATGTCATCAAAGGACGGAACAATATTGTTCAAAAGTAGATTTGTAACGAAGAATGTAGCAATGAAACTCGCTTTACCCCAGAATTGGGTTAAAAATTAACGAAAATGTCACTATCTTGATCAAAAGGATAAAACACATACTTAAGGACCCCCTTCTGCAAAAAGCTTACAAGTTGTTTCAACTCCAACTGGTAAGGCATTCATGGGTAAAGACCTCGCTACTGGCTCTACTAAAACGTCAAAATGTCCACTTTTCAGAAAGAATTAGGTGCTAAACCAGAAACCTTTCATTTGATTGGTCACAGTCTTGGTGCACATATCTGTGGGTACGCTGGCGATAGAACTCCACATCTTGGCAGAATAACAGGTACGAGTGTTTCATTGTTTTACTATTTATATCAAAGAAAGAAAGAAGCATCAATATTTCACGAGGATAACAACTCGGGTTCACTGTGCTATATAGAACCCCCCAATAAGATAATGTTACTTTTATCTGATTCGTAATGAGCTCACGCGTGACAAGCAGAGGCGTTTCTACGAAAAGGGGTGGGGGTGTTCAAATTCCATATCATCGTGTTCCAAAATACCTGATCTTTGGTATGATTCCAGGTGGTTAACGAAGGGTAACTTTTCATTACTAGGACTCGGACGGAAGAGTAAAACCATCAAACTCATTGAATTTTCAGTGAGCAGTCAACAACATCTTAGGCTTGAAATTTTTTATTTATCTGTAGGTTTGGATCCAGCTGACCCATATTTTCAATATACTGATAGAACTGTTAGATTGGATGAAACGGACGCCCAGTTTGTAGATATTATACATACCGATGGTATTTCAATCCTTAAATTAGGTAAGGGGTAAAGAAGGATCGTTGATAGTTGTTGAGGTTTATTTGATACTTCTGTATTGTTACCCTCGGCTGTTTGGGTCTATATATTACACTGGATTCCTTACTTTCAGAACAAGTGTATACGAATGCAATAAAGGAAACAACCTACAATTCTCAGAGACATATTTTTGTGCTACATGATGGATCTATTTATATTGCTCTTATTGAAGATCAATTGGCAACCACCAATTATCTCACCAGATGAAATAGTGATTTTCTGACTAAGGTACACAAAGAGACCTATTCCTGAATAAAAAGATATGGTATAAGTACTCTTGTATCGATTCTCATCTCATATAGGTTATGGTATGATACAACCATGTGGACATGTTGATTACTATCCTAATGGTGGAGAGACACAGCCTGGGTGCGAGAAAGGACCCGTATCTTCCATTTTAACCGATGGTTTATATAACGGTATGTAGAATGCAACGAAACGGCCACTCCTTGGTATCTGAAATCTTTCGTTATGCAGTTAAATGGAAGACATAAAAAATGTAATTGCGTGTCCTTCCGCCAAGGATGCATGTTATCAACTACTAATCAAAAATCCAATTTTTAATAGATCCGTTTTGAATACAGCATACTGTGTTGGTAAAGAGTCTGAATTCAATCTTTAAAGAAGACTATAAACAAAGAAAAAACTGACGAATCTCATTTTTTCTTTCTCATAATTCCAGGTGTCGCACAATTTGTAGCATGTAATCATTTAAGATCCTTCGAGTACTTCACAGAATCTATCAACGCCAAATGTCCATTCAGAGGTTACCAGTGTACCGACTACAAGCAATTCAGGGTAATCAGAAAACTCTTTATGAATACTGATATCCTGCTAGATGGCTTTTGATTAGCCACAGAAAATGCATCTGTGCTCTAGTAACGCTGCTCAACCCTCTCGATCTGACTCATTTCGTGTTTCTCTCCCAAATACATTATGTTGAGGTGAATGAAATTTCAACATCTCTTTCTCTCAAATTGCATTGTGGCGAAATAATGTGGAAAAGTTACTTCCCGGTTAAAAAGTAACAACACCCGGGCAAATAATAAGGATTTAGAATAGACAAACTAACAAAAACGACCTTTACGAATCGAACAGAAAGACCAGAAACAAAGACAACATAACAGGTAGGCACAATTTGACCCGTATGACTTCTATTTAGTCAGGTAATTGTATGCCATGTCAAGGAAAGGGGTGTGGTGTAATGGGTTTCCATGCTGACAAAGTTAAACCACACGCTGGCAAAACCAATGTGAAATATTATTTAGATACCTCATCATCAGGTCCATATTGCCGTAAGTGTTATAAGCTTAATCTCCGACCTGAAATTGCTTTCTATCAGCTGGGAAAGCATCCCTTTACCTTTAGTATGCAGTGTTGAAAGAATCTATTAACTGACAAAATATGATTCAGTTTGCGATTGTTATAAACCAAATACATAACTTCACCCCGATTTGTAAGGAAAATAAGTCATAAACGCAACGAATACTCATTTTCCACTCCGATCTGGATCTTTGAACAGATGATAGTTACTTAAAATTCTGTGCATTTGGTAATAAAACCTGCCTTTTCTGTTATTGTTTTGAAGGTTACCATGATCAAATTCAGATCACATTTGGTTCAAAATTGTTTTCAAGAACAGAACGTGGAGCTCTCTATGCTACTATCATTGGCGATAAAGGCCGAACAGGAAGAGTAAAATTGACAGAGTAAGTTGTCTGTTTTATGAAATCGTTTTGTTATTCTCCTATGGAGTACTTGATCGCAAACCTAGTATTCAATCAGGGTTCAATCACGTCATAGGTCGAGATAATACCTTTGGATTTTTCAACCCGGTTTCCCCCTGTGATGCAGGTAATAGGGGCTGACATGGAAAAAGCGTCTAGTTGTTGGGACATTAACCGAGTTCCCGTGTGCTACAGGCTGTGCACGTTAAAGATCCCTCGTCGGCTGGAAATGAGCTGGCTAATATGGACGAAAAATACTAAAATGAGATAGCACAAGTAGAACTCAAGAAAGTCTTTGGAACCACGTTGATGTCAAACTCGAAAATAGACCTATTCCCTACTTTCCCTTCTATAACTTTGGTTTAATGATGACCGGAGAAGCAACACAGAGTCACTATGATGGGTTCAGATATACACAACATCCTTAAACAGAAGGAACAAACCTTTGCTGTTTTTATGCAGTGATAACGAAATTGAAGCTGGTAAAAGTTATACATATATGGTGTTATCAAAAGTTAATATTGGTGCCATCAAAACCGTTGAATTGGGCTGGACTCATAATTCTAAGTGGTACAAAGTTTTAGACTGGAATATACTAGGCCTTCGTCACCCAACAGTGTATGTAGATAAAATAAGTGTGGTCAATGGAGAGGATTCAAAATTGTAAGTTACTTCCCTTAACTAGTTCTTTCTTATGAAAACCAGTCTTGTCCTGAAATTGGTCAAGCTGTTCCGTCGTAAGGCTTTCTCCGAAGGAAAATGGCTGTAGATATTGTAACCTTGGCATGGATTCAATTTCAGCTATTGTCGCTTTGTCAATCTTCCAGTTAGACAACTAGGTCTTGTACCAGTTGGGCATTCCACCTGCTAATAGGTCATGGGGGTGACAGGAAAAACCCGTTCTTGGACCCTTTAATGTCCGTTAGTTATGAGATTAACTAGTTTGGTCAACTAGGTGGAATAGTTGTAACATTGTCATGAAAATGGATTTGAGAGACAAGAATTGACAATTGACAGCTTTCTAGTAGATCTTTCCATTGGTATAACTGCATATAAAAGCATGATCACGAATGTAATGAGCTATTGGCTTTTATCTATTGCGTTCTTTGATGAACATTATTTCAATTGAGGGAGCTACTACCACTTATGGACTCTTTGACGTATTGTCTTATTAGTATTTTTCCTAGACACCCACATGTCATAGAACATTAGCTACCCATTAATCTTCATTTTTTATAAGTGAATGTCAAACCAAACATCCAACAGAGGAACCTTGTCTGGATTATACTTATATGATTTCAGTGTGGCATTCTGTACTCAAAATACAGCCATGGAAACTGGACAGAAGGTGTCGATTTCAAGAACTTGTTAATAAAATCTATAAAAAAAAAAATTTGCCTCAGATTCTTGCCAACTTAACATAAGCTGGGAATATGACCAATTTAGCCCGGTGATTGCTCTATACATCGTGCTTTTTTTCGTGTGACTAGTCGTGATTGGTAACAATAATTATAATTTTGTATTATCTATCCAGTGTTATTCGCCCAAGTAACATAATGTTATTGTATAATATACCATCAGCATCCGGATTGGTTCATTCTTAGCTTTAAGTATTGTAGGAAAACTTTTAAAATTCTGTAATTCAACAATACACAAGACAAATGACTGAATAAATCTCATTTTCCTTCTAATTTCAAAAAGGTTTACACTTCACTACCAATGAATAATTTCGCTTATTTTGTCAAAATATATCACGACGTGTGTATACGGACAAGGGCAAACGGACGGACTTACATGGGTGACGACAAAAGGCGCCCTACCTCTCAAGTGCTTGTACAAAGAAGCAGTTTAAATCTTGCAACATTTAATGGAACATAAATTTATCACAGTAAAACAAGCAAATAACACAAATGGATGGACATCGATCACAGATTCTTATAATTTACCAACACAATAAAACGATGAAATCGGCATCTTGAAGTTCTAACAGATTACAACAAGAAACTGATTCCAAACGCTCTTTCTTTAATATCACAGTCGTTAAGTATATTTATAGCATTACAAAAAACAAAATAAAAACTGAAATAAAACAGATCGTGGTAGCACATAGTGTATGTAGTAGCTTTTTAGGTTCATCAAATGGGGTTCCAATTTAGCTCCAGTCGAAGAGCATCTGCATTTAGTTACAGTCGATCAGCATATTTATCTAGTTTTTTAACTCCAGTCGAAGAACCTTTGATCTTAGCTTCAGTCGAGGAACAACTGTATTTAACTTCGATTGAGGAACAACTTCAGTTCATGAGCATCTTTATGGAAAACATTGAGCCAGTCCAGCGAAAGGGCACACAGGTCAAGTCGAAAAGCATATGACCTAGATCGCATTAAAGCATAGTTGTAGAGCTGAAAGGGATTTTTTTTTTCTGAACAATACTGTGATCGGAAGTATAGGTTCAATTGTTTTGATCAATCATTGATCAAGCCAGTTCGATGTGTCTAGTGAAAAGAAAAGTCGTTGTAGCGTAGAAAAGAATCTGAAATTCTGTGGTATTTCCTTATTCATCGGTTGGTACATAAGGAGCTTCACCAAAACAGAGCAGTGGACCTAGAGTTACCTCTCCGGATTCGTTATCCCCATCACCTAAATAAAACAGGGATTCAGTGTAGAAACGCTATGCGAAATTTTGCGTTGATCGCATACCTTATCGCTAGACTGCGCTTGCATCACGGATAAGTTTTACAAATGTGTACAGAACATTATTGTAAGTGGTAAACTTTTATCAAAAAAAGAAATTTCACAAAATCATGCGCATGCGTCATGTGTGGAAGGTATCGGAGGATTTACAAAATACGCCAAAAATACTGTAAAAGATATAGCAGGGATATCTTAGCCTTACTACGCATGCTTAGAAATAGCATCGCCATGACACATCAATTCGCCAACTGTAATATATCCAACTTCGTTAAAGTCTTCTCCTGTAGATAAAGGGCAAATATGTTATGGAATGGTGAGATAGATAAATTGTGTGGCGCATACACCTACCAAATGTATTATAAATGCGCCAATAAAATGAAATAAATAAATAAAAACAATGCAATAAAGAAAACATATTAAACAAAATTTGACGTAAAATCTGATCTGAATTTTGTACATAACATGACTTATTTTTCGACGCACTCGTCATTTTTTCCACCGATTGGCAGCTAGGGAACACTAGACAAATGAGGAGTGGGCCGAAAATGTCATGTGATGTTTTAAGCTGCTGGTCTTCACGGTAAAATTTTACTAGGAAACCACGTTAACCCCAGCATATCAAAGGTCCAATAGTTTTATAACCATCCTCGTTCAAACCACCTTTAAATATAATCAAATACATCATAGAATTTTCAAGTAGCCAATTACTGATGAACCATATGTTGGGTTTAAGCTAACTAAGCGAATAACAGTGTATGGATTTTATTAAGATCTGCGCTTCCGTTCAGCATCTATGTGATACTAAAGAAGATAGAATATATGTAGCAGGTAGGTTAACAGGCAATTAGTGCATTTGACCACTAAGAAAAATGATATGTAACTGAAGAGGATGTGGATCGCCATGTTTTGTCGAATGAGGGGGGCTAATATACATAAAGTATTATTAAGAGACATAAAGCTAGAAGGTGCTGTTTCTTCCAATTTGACTCAGTCCTACGATTCCATTTTAAAATGACGCTAAATTCTCGGCTTACAGGCTCACATTAGATGCAATGGTTTTTTTATAAATATGTTTTATTAAATTGACGTTAAAAAAAATTACCTGTATCACCAGCTAAGAACTCAGTTACCGGCAGATCATTCTTGAAAGTGATATACCCAGAATCTTCTCTCCAAGTGGCATCATTCATATCACAATTACAAAGCAGACCAGGATCAGCACAAGTGTCGTTCATTCCACAAGCACAGCTCTCTGATCCAGGTACACCACCGCTGAAGTAGTCAGCAATACCACCAGTGCGGTTGACCCAACCAGTTGTAATCACACCATTGCCATTAGGATTGTGAATCAAAGCTGCTTTACATTCCCATTTCAAAAACTGCTTACAATGAGTTGAAGCATCAGCTATAGCTATAGCATGGTCCAGGGAAACGTTGTAAAGGATAGGCATCTTAAATTCTCCAGCACCTTCATAGCCGACGACTTGTTGTCTTTCTTCGTTATCATGACCTGTAATATATTTTCAAAGGGATTTCTGATGACCGTTTATAAGATATGCTTAATCACTTAACTGCCATAATGAATCATAATGAAGTATAGGTGGGTTACTAAAAGTATTTACTGATCAAACACTTACCAATAACAGTTACACCAATACCATTTTCACTGACCATATCACAATATACTCTAACAGATTCTAATTCACCATCTTCACCATCAGGATCTACATCAGCCATGGTATTCTCTTCTAAACCAAGTTCGCCCCAGGCACTGCAGGTACGAGCTATAGGAAAATATTCAAGTTAGTAGTGTATTAAAGGCATGTGTATTATGACTATTCAAGAAAGTAACAATAATAACGTATAAATGGTTTAAGCGTCCAGTCATCTCTGCTTCTGACTATATTTTGGATTCCATATCAATATTCTGTGGATCGTCTAATGCAGTGGTTCCCAGCCTTTTTCACCCTTTACACCCCTGGAGCAATCACCTGGACCTTTCACACCCCAAAAAATTCCCAGCATGTGATGATGCGAGTTGCTCTCTCAATTTAAAATAAATTCTTCTCCTACACCAGTTGGCCACACCCCTGACATCCTAGTCCCACAACCCCAGGGGATGGATGGTTCAATATTCAAAATAGCCCGAAAGGAGAAGAACAACAGCTATAAAGAACAAAATTAGTTCTACTTTACCATGTGGAGTACAAGGGAAGGTATGGCAAGCAGTAATCTCTTCTGGGTCTCCCTCACATGGAGCAGTCAGGTTACCATAAGATGTCATATCACAAACTCGGGATCTGGCGTGGGTTCCACCATTACAAGATACAGTACATGGAGACCAGGCTGTCCATTCAAACCAATCTCCAGGAACTGTAAGGATGAAAAGATCTCTTCAAATAACCTCACAGAAATGATCACAACCTTCTTGCTTCAGCAAAGCAAAATTGTGCTCAGCAAACGCTTTTTGAATCACGCAGCGACCGCTGCAGATCGTTTAAGAAAAGCCAATACCTACTCATGTTTTGGAAAAAATTTCTGGAAATGAAACATATATTGCATCAAAACCGTATTTAACCTTTTATTTTTCTCTGTTAAACTTTACATGTTTATTTTAACAAGAGACAAACATGAGGGAAGGGCAAAGTGTGGGGAAGGCATTACACTTTTCTATTTGCAGGGGGTTGTTGCCTACAATCATTAAAGAGACTAGTCCTTTTTACTTAAAGAGGCATGTCTTCAAATAACAAATTCTGAATACCATTATTCAGATCAGCATTAATAAGTTGATATAATAATAATCTAAATTTTTTCAAAATATTTAAATTTTTAGGCCAATCTCTTTAATATCTAAGAGAATAAGTAAGAATACAACTGATAGCTTGAAAAAGAAATGTATCAAGTAAAAAAAGACATGCAGTGATATATCTGTGTTCCCCGCCCGCAAAAATAGAAAAAAAGATATTTAAAATATATCCTGTAAGAAAAATCTAGTTAAGAAAACAGGCAAGAATATACAAAGATATATGTAAAATGCAATATAGTATAATATATATATATATATAAGGTATAAATATAGTCTAATGCATATAATATTATTATATAAGTAATAATGCATCTATAAAGGCAAGAGAGATGTATCACTGTGCTCCGTGTGTCATAAATGCTATGAAACACGGTGATTCGTGTGTTATATATTGCAAATATAATATATGATAGGGCTATATACACATTTAAGATTTAAGACACACTTGAAAAAAAAACTAAGATAAAAGTATATGAATTTAATACGAAAACAAATTAAATGCAATACACATCCGAAAAAATCCCACTTACTCGGACAAGTATTTTCATTACAAGACTTGGATTCCTTATCGATACCTTCACATGGTTGACCGCCATATTGCGGTTCTTGACAGTCACGTGATCTGATACTCAAACCACCACCACAAGTGGTGCTGCAGTCCGACCAATCAGACCATTCTAACCAGAGTCCATCAACTGGAAAAAAGATTGTATCATATTATAAGGGGAATTCGAGTCGAAAGCAAAAATTATATTGCATAATGTTTAATAAATTTTTCTAAAAGTATGTTTATAAATCCATTAAGTGAATATTACTTTTTTTATTTGGAGGGGGAGGGGGTCCTAAGTTGCGTGTTTTGGGGGTTTTTATTGGGATTTTTTTCATTTGGCAAAAAATTTACCCAAGTGAATCTTTTTTAAATTAAAACGCATCTGAAAGTAAAAGTGTTTAAACATTTAAAATGAAAATGAAATATCTGTAATTTGCTATGCAGAAAAGTGAGTGATTCAAATTGAAAATAAAGAGTGTCACATAGGAGTGATTGAAAGTAACAATTTTATCGCCAAAAAAGACAGACAGAAATCTCATGCAAGAAGTTTAATTGAAACAGGGAAATGCCATTAGAATATAGGCCTACTTTTTATTATCTTGGTTTGTAATGTAATTGTAGCAATTTTATAGAGCAATTTTATAGTGAAAAGAAAAACTTCGAAAGCACAATAGCAATTCTCGTTATGTTCAAGAGCTATACAAACGAAATGAAATGGAATTACTCGCCTTACTCTTTTGCCCCTGATATTGCTAATGGAAATAGGCAACCTTAACTTTAATTCACAGGAACATACTATGACGTCACTAACGATACTTACGAGGTTTATTTAAGATCAGCGACGTCATATGTCGTGTAAGTTATACAACATGATTGAATTTCGGACAAATTGACAGATGAATATTAAGAAAAGGTTAAAGAGAGGTAAAAAAGGAAGAGGTGCATAGAGAGAAGATTAAGGTTTAATGGGTCTTACATCAATATACACATAATACAATATACAGATTACAACAGAAGGTTAACATTGCACCGCCACCACCGCACGCCATCAACACAACGAATACAGGTATGTAAGCAAATCCTTTACTTGGACAAGGCTGTGTTTTGCACGCATGTTCTTCAACAAGACTGTCGTTGCAGGCGCGGCCACCATGTTTTGGCTCAATACATGTTCGCGATCGCAGTTGTAATCCACCACCACATGAAAGAGAACAAATGCTCCAGGACGACCAGTTTGTGTATTCTCCGTCCACTAAAGGAATAAATTGGATATCATCATAATAATAGTAATAGCTCATTAATTCAATACGATGCTCCAAGATGTTATCTGGCCATCCAGGTTGAAAAACGTACCAAATCATCATTATTAGCTACATGGACTCAAAGAGAACGGTGAACAGACAATTCCAGATGCCGAAACTAAACAGTAGTTCTAAGAGAACGACATGACCTGTCTTGGTAGAAATTGTTATCCATATGATTCCAACTGATTATCCATAAAAATTCATCCGTAGCTTTCGGATAATATTTTCTTCAATTTGTACCGAACACCAACCTGGGCAATTCTGCATGTTACAACTGCTAGATTCTTGTAAATGCGCAGCGCAGTCCTTCCCGCCATATTGCGCAACAGTGCAATTTCTAAAGCGAAACTGAACACCTCCACCGCAAGTTAAGCTGCAGGGTCCCCAATCCATCCATGCGTTGACAATGGCATCAACTTGAAAGAAAAGAGTGCAAATAAGTAAAAGGTTTAAAGACAGAAAATGGTGCAAGTTAGAAGTAAGCAAATTACAGACATTTTTAATCGTAAAGAGACAATCGTTGATGATTTTAATTATATATCTACCAGATAGTAGTAATGGTGGGTCTCGAAGAACAGGAACGAAAATCTATTAATATCAGGCCTAAATATCCCGAAAAAATTTTAAGATCTGAGACGAATGTTCGGATCTATGAAGATCTTGGCTAAGGGTCCAAGAAAAGTGACTATTTTTCTTTTAGGTTATCAATATACGTGTAATATGAATTATAAAACAGGTAATCCAATAAAGTAAAATAACTGAATCTGTAAATTTCATAAAGGGAAATCTGCATAAAAAGACCTTTTTTAAGTAGGTCTAATCAGGCCATGGCTACAGGGATATATTTGATGGATTGCCCTCTGAAAAAATTCTGACAACCGACCAATTTCTTCAGCAATCAAACACCATACATTATCAATCCGGATATATTACTTGCCCTTCCAAATGCAAGGGTCATATGATTCTAAGCTTTTCTGTAATCACTTACTTGGACAATTCTGAATATTACAATCTTTTGATTCTAAAGCATCGCCTGGACACGCAGCGCCGCCAAACTTGGGTTCAATGCACTCCCGTCTTCTATTTTGAGTTCCACCGCCGCATGTCAGTGAACATTCATCCCAAGTACTCCATTCTTTCCAAATTCCGTCGACTAAAATGAAAAAAGAGACCGCATTGAAAACTCACGATCAATGTATATAAAGGATTAAAACTTCTGGATTAATTTTTAAATCTATTTGAAATTTTTGATAATGATTATATTATTGTATATAATATTAATTTAATGATATAGATAGACGTGGAAGATTAGGGTAGTGCATTTAGAAAATGTTAAGTAGTGTGGTTGTGAGGGAAATTTAGTGCACAACACGATTAGTAATGCAATTAGTTGTTGATTGGTGCATTTCTCAGGTAAACCCTAAAGATTTTTGCCATTTCATGTCTTTGTTTTTGGATAATAAAACAAACCAAGAGAGCAATTTACTTTATTTTTTAAAGAATTTTAACAATAATTTTTGTGAGCATTATATTAATGTCTGCATAGCTGAATATCTAGATTTTCTAGATGTGCCAGGCATAATTTTATTGCCGAATTTTCATAAAAAAAAATGTTTGTTCGATGTACATAGATGATGATTATTAGAAGAAAATGACAACAATTCTTTGGAGATACGGAACGGACGTTCATTATGCCATGCAAAATAGAGCGCGCCATATGCTATATTTGTATATAACGCTGTGCTGTTGCATTCGTTATAGTTGATAGTCCACAGTCGCTCCGTTGCGTTCCACATTGTTGTTCAATGCCATCAGCTTTGCAAAAATATAATAAAAGCAATAATGGTTATAAGTAGAACATGCGCGGTTATAATTCAAATTCAAACAATTGACACATTTGAGTATATTATTGCAGCACTGCACGGTGAGTTATATATCTTTAGCATATTAGCAAACTTCAGCCATATCACCAATTTTTCTCTCATGCATTGTTTATATTATGTTGTCGTTTATCGCTTGATATACTTTTAAGCAAGGAATACAATTGAGTTTAAATATAAGAAAGATACAAACGCTTTATTGGGTACATGGCATATCTTACTTGGGCAGTTTTGTTCATTGCAGGGTTTAGTTTCGACAAGAGGGCCTGTACAGTCTTTACCATTATATTCAGGTCCAATGCATGATCTTTCTCTCTCTGATATACCGCCACCGCATGATAGCGAACACTCAGACCACGCTGCCCATGGCTCTAGTACACCATCAACTATGGTAAAAGTTTACACAATTATTGTTTATAAACAATAGATATACAAAGTTATACGTGTTGTTTAAGAAATAGCAGCAATGCATTGAATAGTAATCGTTATAATTAATGGCATATGAATATCAGCGATTACGGTATAGTATTTTGACCATAATTAATATGTCCAATGCAAACATTTAAATTTTCAAATTTGATTTTGTTAAAAATATTGTTATCATAAATTTGAAAAGTCAATCTCATGTGCGACATGGAATCGTGCAGGGCCAACAAAAAGCTGCCACAAAAAGGCTCAAAAAACAGACCTAGGTTTAATTTCATGACAATGTTATTAGGAATGGAGAAAACTCAAAACCATACGGTATTTGCACCATGCGTAGTTTGATGCGCAGATAAACGTTCAGCAACGCGCCTACATTCAGCAATAGGACAATAGATCTATCTGTCTCATATGTCTGCATGAATTCATAAATATTGCACTAGAACCACCACCGATCTGAAAGGGGCTTTTAAGAGGTTTCTAAATCTGTATGTGTATCGGGGCTCACTGATAGAATCAATTTGCACCATTTCAATTTTCAACAGACGTCTGTGGTTCCTGCAATTCCACTAAAACTAAGTGTTTGATGACGTCACTACTTGCGAAGGGCTTTGTATTATTATTATTATTATTAAGCAAATTTTACAATTAGTGACGTCATAAAACACTTAACTTAAGTGGAATTGCAGGAACAACGGACGTCTGACTGAAAATTGGAATGGTGAAAACTGATTCTCTCAGTGTTCCCGATATACATAAAAATTCAGAAAACCTTTTAAAAATCCCTTTAAGAAAAGAAGCATGAGGCATCGATTTTGTCAAGAAAATATGTTTGATATCATTAAAATTCTAATATCTATAGGTATAGAAACAGATTAAACAATACTTACTTGGACAACTGAACCTATTGCATGGTTTGGTCTCTGTGAAGTCTCCTTTACAATCCAAGCCATTGTGAAAAGGGCCAAAACACGTCCGTTCCCGGATAGACAGTCCACCTCCGCACGTAAGATCGCATTCGCCCCATATCGACCATTCGTTGAATATACCATCAACTATTGTAAAACAAAGGAATTACATATCTCGCAACCAATCACTTTTTGAGTATGATTTCTTCTTTTTTTAATTCTTTTTTTAATTTTTTACTTTTTGCAATTTTTTTATTCATCAAAAATAATCCCCAATCTAAGCATTTTGTTACATTTCTTCGTTCAAAAGTTCTGATATTATATATGGTTTAAAAAGTCTAAAAATTTCTAAATATTGTCTACTGTAATTGTTTAGTTTTAACAAACTATCTAACTAGTTATTAAAGGATACTACCTCGTAGAATGGACATGACCAGTGTATATATTCATCAGTTGGACTTACCAGGTGCCATGACCAAAGATTCAAATCTTTATACAAGACGGATGTATCCATTAAACTAAATAATTATTGAAACAGGTTTCAAAGTTACTTAGTTTAATGAATTATTACTTAGTTTTATGGATTTATTGGATTATAGAGGGATTCTGTTGTGTAATTATCACACCAGGTAAATTCACCGATGAACAAAGACTTATTTTGACAAAAATTACCATTTTTTGGTCATCTTAAGAGGTAGTATACCTTTAACATTATACATGGCATAACTGCATTCAACATTTGAAACTTATAAGCGTGGTGAATTCGTGGAGGGGCAAGGTAGTTTTGGGTACATAGCACCTTTAATATATGAGAATCCAATGATCCAGAGCATGTAGCCAACACTTCCTTAATCTATCACACAGTGGGGGACAAGCAGTGTTGTTTTACAGCCATGGTGCTTAATACAGGGTAAGGGATCTTCAAACAGGGATCATTGCTCAAGCAGAGAATATAAAAAAGGTTAAAGATGGATGCCTTGAAGATAACAGGCAAAGAATTAAAGGCCAATATTGATGACGATAATAATCATTAGCAATTTTATTTAATGCGCCAAAAATGCCTTTTGCTGGGCAAGCGATTGCGAATGCTGCATTCTGAAAGCAATGTAAAAATTAGAACAATCTGGATTCGTCTGTAAAAAAGAAACATTTTTAGAATGAACTCTGGAAAAATTGGCGTACGAGCTGGAACATCGTCTCAATCCCCAAGTTGCGATCAAGATCACCTGAAAACATCGCCGGATATTTCTATATTTTGTCGTCTTTTTGTGAAACGTATTCGCCCCTCTAGGCGCCCCATCCCCCCTTCCACTCGTACGCCTATAACTAAAGCACACAACACAAGGCTTTGAATAAAGCTTCCATAGGCCTGAAAAGGATACACTGAAAAAAGTGGGTGAATAGCCTATCAATGCATTATTACTAAATAATAAGCAAGATTTAGGTAAAGATGCTAACATATCACAATTCCTTTCATGAAACAAGAAATAATAATGGATATTTCGTCCGAAAGGGGCTTTACCATCTTCTGCTCAACGATACATTTAGCACGTTAAACGTAGTATAGGGACATTATGGCTGCGAGATATCTCTTTAACAGAATTGGTATTAGCATTTGCCACGATAGAAAATCAGTTAATTGACAAAGCCAATCTTGTTTCAGAAAGAATGATAGGATAGCATCTTCTATGGAGACAGAAAAAGGGTTTGTTCTAAAGCACGGATGTTTTGACCTTCTGGACTCTTACCCATGAATGAACTCTTGAACTTTCGTTATACAGTCTTGAAACTAGTAGAGAAATATAAGGTTCATTATATAGCATTAAGACACTTTCAAATTCAATATCATATAATACAAGTTTTAAAATTGAAATCAGACTCACCGGGACAAGGTTTCGCGTTACAGGACTGAGTATCTAATTCTGAACCTACACAACCATCACCGCCGTAATAGGGCCCGGAACAATTTCTGTATCTGAGCTGTTGACCAACTCCACAAGTGACACCACACTCGCCCCAACTTCCCCATTCGGCCCAAATACCATGAACTGAAATACAGATGCATATTCAGGATACGATACAAGTAGTGCCCGAACTGAACTGAAGAATTTAGCATCGATATCATGAGCTGATTGATACTGATTTAGACTTTGAATTATTGGTACATTATCCGATCATAAAACACTGTAGTTCAACTACCATAAGGACTAATCCACAGGCCCCAACCCCTAAGGGACCCCACCTTCAGAAACATGTAGGAGAGCATAAATATATAACAAACTTTCCGGGGGTAGGGGCCCGAACCCACTTAGGTCCACAGACACCCACTCATCTTGTTGAGGTACTGTTCGTCGTTCGTCATAGGTTTTCAAGTTACCATTTTTAAATTTCAATCAAACAGAATTTCTGTTCTTCTTATTTTAATAGTTAATTTAAATATCTATAATTTCAGTGTGAAACTCAAAAAGACTTGAAATGACTTGGGTGTAACTGTATACTTACTTGGACATTTCACCTCATTGCAATATCTGGAACTGTTGGAGTCACCAAAGCACGCCTCTCCACCGTGGAGAGCTTCTTTACAAGCTCGCTCTCTCCACTGTGTTCCAGCACCACAAGACACATCACAGGGTCCCCATTCACCCCAGGGTAACCAATCTCCATCAACTTGAACAGTATATATTTTAAATTACTCAAAATGCTGAACTGAGAAGTCTCAGTAAGATTGTGGAATCATCCAAGCATACATAATGGTTTGATGATTGCATTTTGGAAGCGAGAAAAGAAAGAATCATTTTTGCATCGATAACCAGTAGGCTTCCCTTTCTACCAGCTGGTCAAAGGCCATAGATCATTCCGGGAGTGTAGGTTGTCGCTTTACGACGACTGGACGTACATAAGGACGTTACCTTGCGGAAGACCTTCGAAGCTGTCTTACCAGAAAGGTTCAAATATTTTTCATAACATAAAAATAAAAAATGAATTTCGCTCACTAACCTGGGCATGGTCTATCGTTACATGGTCCTAATTCTTCCATCGGTCCGGAACAGTTTGCTCCTCCATGGTAAGGTCCAATACATACACGTTGTTTGACATGTACGCCGTCACCACACGTAGTGGAGCAAGATCCCCACATTCCCCATTCGCCTTCAACTCCATTAACTAGAAATTAAGGTCTTGTTATTCAATCGGTTGGCAAAGCCATACAAAGAGATGAAGCCGTGGTGTGCATGCAGTTGCCTCACAGGATAGGATTTGTTTTGTGTTTTTTCATCATTATGAATTTCATTATTACATTATTTCTAGTAATTCTTTTCTATAATAATGTTTACAATAGTTAACTTTTTTTAATTGCAGGTTAGAAATAAAATTATCTGATCTCTCCAGGCATCAAATATGACTTATATTTGAATTCATAAGTGTGAATATTGAGGTTCCTGTTGGTAAAAATTTATAACTGACAGCAAAGAAATCTCAATTAAAAACTTATATTGACCTTAATTACTTATATTATTAGAAATATGTCATTCTTATTATTAGTAGAGGTTATAATTTGTGTGTTTCTTTCCCGGCGGAATATGACAGAATGTCTTCAACTTAACCATTTTAATGTCTTAATGGGGGAATTTATATACCATAGTTGGCATAACTGTGTATATATCGAACCAGTTTGGATTAACTTTTTAATATCAAAATAAAAATGTCCCCTTATACTAATAATCGAATACCTATCTCTTTAACGATTATAAAACCTATAATACTAAAATTAAATGGCTACAAGTATCCGTTTACTTATCCGATTACTTTAAACAATTATCCGAATCAAATTTCCATACTTATACAGATATACATTTAAGAATGTTAGATTTTATAACCGGATACTTGCAGATGAATCAAGGCAGTTTGAAACCGTAAACATTAACCGTCGGTATTAAAAAGTACGAGTAAGTTATGTCTGAGTTAACGAGTTAAAAATGTTACTGGTAGTAAATAGCTACGAGTGTTAAAGCGTTATTATCAAATAAATACGAGTGTCCGATTTAGATTTATTGTAACTGCAGGTAAGCATATGAGTCCTCCTAGGTAAGAAAAGTTCTGATGCAACGACCTGTGTCCTAGAGTTGGTATGGTTTCGCCTTTCAACTCCTATCACCTACACAGAAATGAGTATTCGGTTACTTTTTTGATTGAGATTTCGGTTTGTCGTTTACAGGAAGCCTAATATCCCTGATTTGATGGTTTTGTTGACTGGGGAGAGACATCATAGTGTCTCTTACCTTCTCCAAGTCTTTCATAATTCAGGTCCAAATTTTCTCAATGATGTGCCGGTGATTTTAGCAGCGCGCAGACTGTTTCCTTATTTGCCAAAAGCCCTATATATATTTATTAAAAATAGCAGCGAACACCATAATACCAAAATTCGGCGCTTCATATATTTTCAATATACCCTTCAATTCATATCCTTGCCCTGTTGTGAATAAAGTGCAATTAACAGATAGGAAGTTGTGCTTTAAGTTAGATGATATACCAAAGACAAACTATATATGTATTACCATTCCGAGTGCAAATAAGGGGAAATAATATATAAGTAAATATATAAGAAGGAAAAGAAATAAAACGATGTCTTGTACCTGGACAAGGGTGTGTATTACACGCTTGAGATTCGCTGCCTGGTGGGTCGCACTCTTTACCGCCGAAATGCGGTCCATCGCATGTGCGTGTGCGAACTTGTGTACCGTTACCGCATGTTAGAGAGCAAGTGCCCCAGTCACTCCAATCCTTCCAAACTCCGTCAACTAAAAAAATAAGTATTATTCATTCAATTAAATTGTTACCTGCAAATACCTTTTAACGTCACCTACGTTACATATCACATAAAGTTAAAAAAATATTTACTTGCGATACGTAACATTTTTTACATTTCATTAACATAGTTCTTATGCTGTAATTATTGATATAGCTGTATAGCGACTGTGCTCAAGGTATTTAGGATGTGTTGCTTTGTGGGCCAAGCTATATAGATTTGTGACCGTTTGTGACGCCAACTGCTATTGAATGAAACAGGCAAATTGTCCCCGTGATAGCCCTATCCCATATTTCCCAACTAAACCCCTTTCACCACATCAGTCCGCACAAAGATATGCCACGCCTTACCAAGCGTGTATTAATATTGTTAATATATAAAAATCCTTTAAAATGAAGACCATCTCCATACTTGGACAGTTGTGAGTGTTGCATTCGCGGGGTTCAACTGAACTACCCATACACGTCGCACCCCCATATTTGGGTAACTGGCATTCGCGCTCACGAATCTGTGTGCCTCCTCCACAGGTGACGTTACACTGTTGCCATTCCTGCCAAGGCTTCCAATTACCATCAACTAGACAAATAAAGATAAAAAAATGGTTATCATGGTTATAAGTGATAACACAGTGTAATACATTATGTTATAAATAACATCAGTTTGTTGTATAATATAAAGCAATATAACATTTATAAGGTCGTATGATGATCATGTAATGAATAATTACATCTGTAAATACAAGTCTATTTCCGAAACCAATATTTGTCGTAACATAATAGACCATCGAAATTCTCCTTCCACAGATTTCTAAAACATAGAATTGCAATTTCATAATCCATTGCAAGAAAGGAAGATGTAGAGGAGGGGGTTGTTACACTTACTTGGACAAGAGAACGTATTGCACGATCCTATATCTTCAGTACTACCAGGACATTCCGCACCATCGTAATGAGGTCCGTCACATGTTCTAGATCTAGACCGTGTTCCACCGCCACAAGTATGACTACATTCACTCCATTCTCCCCAACTTTCCCATACACCGTCAACTGAAAAATTACAACCAATTACCATTTTGGATTATGAACGTCCCTTAGCAAAACCCTATACTTCTGTCGCCCAGTTCATCTTGCATAAAAGAAACATTCAATGTAACTGGTGGACCTGATGATTTGATATGCATTTTACCAAATCCGCCGTATGTTGTAGATGTGTTAATTGTTCATTGTGATCATTTTTTATGTGGTATTCATGTTTCTAAAACAATACCTATAATCATATGTTGAACAATGGTAGAAGTACAGCAATCACCTTAACAAGCAGACAGCCTGTCAAATTGAGGAACCGCCTCCAACGAACGATGACAAACGCTAGCGTAGATGATCCTGATGTGGATTTGAAAAGATACTTGAAAATACTGAAAAATCTTACTTGGGCATTCTTTGTCTTTGCACCATCTAGTTTGTTTGTCTTCTGCTTCGCATTCGCTACCGCCATGGTATGGACCGTCACATTCTCGAGTTCTATAATGCGTTCCGTTCCCACACGACACTGAACAAGCAGACCAGTCGGACCAATCCTTCCACACACCGTCGACTATTAAAATGTCACATTATAATCAGTACTTGACACTGAATCACCGTTTCCCTCCCTCCACACTCTGTGTCACATGCAAACATTAGAAAAAACGTTAGAATTTGTGAGTAGAATGCTCATGTGCTGGTAATGTGAACTTTGTAAATCTGCCCTGCGTTCAGTCAACAAACAAAACACAACGTATATATGGTTGTTACTTTGTTGTAACGTAACCAATCTGTTGTTGAACGCAGTGCTCAGGTGATTTGAACATGCCATGCAGTTTATGTATAGTGAGTTATTTTCAATGGATTTTGTCGGATGTTTTGATTTTAAAGTGAATCTTGAAGATGAATTGCAGCTGAATTTTCCATGATGAAACGAAGTTATGCACGTAACTTTACGATCATAGCACAACCTCGTGGTGCTACTTTCTGAGACCATCTAAGCTAAATATCTATCACTAATTACTAAATCTACAATATACCAGTCTGCAATATATCTTGGTATGTTAAAATTCAATTTATAAAAAGTTGGTGACTTATGGTGGAGTGGTATTAGGTGTTGAAGAATCATCTAACGATGTCATACCAGCACAACTGCCTGAATAACAGCTCCTCGTCTCTTCGCTATCGCCAGGGCATGGGTCAGTAGCCGTAGACATATCGCAAGTTCTATTCCGACCCTGCATGCCATAGCCGCAACTAGCATCGCAAGGTGTCCACGCCGACCATTCGAACCAGGTGCCGTTGCCTAGAAACAATTATGCTTGATGACATTTTTATCACACACAGTAAGTTCAATCAAATCTAAAGAAAATGTTAAAAAAACGTGACCCCTTTCCCATTTTGTTAGTATTGTGAATTTCTTGTGATCAAAAAAGCGCCATGTGTAGTGCTCCCCATAGAGTCATGCTCACGAAGCATATAATGCATCAAAAACCAAAGGCAAATCTATAAATACAAATCTATCTGCTACAAATCATATCTACAAGATGCCCAAAATACAAACAAAAGGCACATGCATTGGCTTTGGCATCTTTGGTATAGTTCTTGTATGGTCCATTATCTTTTCCAGTGAATAATATGAAATGTAGTTCTGTTCCATTTTTTGAAGACGAGAAATTATGTCGGAGATTGCTATATTGACAGTCAAATCATGTCGATGTTATTGTCGGTGGTCTCAGTGTTATCATTTTGACAGTCGAATCATTTGAGGTTATATCATGATTGTAAAATTATGAGGTTACCATCCACAGTCAAATCATCTGTTTTTTAGGTTACCATAGTGGCGGTCAAATCATGTCGGTTTCTAAAGGTTAACATAGTGACAATCAAAGCATGTCGTAGTAATAAAGGTTACCAAGTGACAATGAAATCAAGTCGGAATACTAAAGGTTACTATAGTGACAATCAAATTATGTCGGTTTCTAAAGGTTACCATAGTGACAATCAAATTATGTCGGAGTTCTAAATGTTACCATAGTGATAATCAAAACATGTCGTAATTATAAAGGTTACCATAGTGATAATCAAATCATGCCAGAGTTCTAAAGGCTACCATTATGACAATCAAATCATGTCGGTTATTAAAGGTTACCATACTGACAATCAAATTATGTCGAAGTTCAAAGGTTACCATGGTAACAATCAAATTATGTCGGAGTCCCTAAGGTTGCCATAGTGACAAAAAAATCAAGTCTAGGTTCTTATCGGTAAGAAGGTAATTTATCGTAGTGATAGTAACAGTCAAATTTGCGTTATAAACGACACCATCTTGAACACATAAGCTTATGTATTACAGTTTCTATACCAAAGATCCAAAATGAATAAATGCACACGATTCGTCAATACAAGACAAATGAAAAACAAATAAATAACAGGAAATAGAAGAGCAATAGAAAGGATACTTGACAGAAGCATTGAATTCCCTTTTGGTGTTACCCCACTCTATTTAATAGTGCCAGAGAGTATATATATTGAATATATAGATTATAAAAAGTAAGGATAGATAATAGGCTATTTTGGGTTATAGTTTCACGATAACAATATATAATTTCAGAAGGTTAACTCATTTCTGGATTTGGTTACCCACTAACAATTATTCTACAACTGAAAGCTTCTATAAAATTTCTAGAAAAGCACATGCGATCAAAATAAAAAAAAATCAATTTGAACGAAGTAAGAGAAAAGAAGATTAGAAAAAATATACATGAATCATTCAAAAATTCAAAATATTATTATTAAAAAATACTAATTAAGATAGAAAATTCACAATTTATAATTTTAAATTTCTTAATTTAAATCTTGAATATTTATTCATTTGAAAATAAATCTTTATGAAAATATGTAATAGTTAGTAGAATAGAAAAAATCAACGGAATCCAAGAATTTCAAAATTACTTTGTATTTACTAATTTCGCTCAAGCAAAAAATTTTGCTACTCCTGCGAATATCCAAGTGTTTTTTACCATATGCCAAGTCAGATAAAAGGAATAATACCTTTTAGAATTAACACGAGATTATTCCTGTTTACTCTGTGGAGGCAATATCAAATACCTCAAGAATTTCAATTCGTTAATCAACTAATAAATAACTTTGTGGACTCGAATCAAAAAAGTCATCAGATTTTAAATTTTGGTCATCTTTAGCTATGACGTTTGGTTGCAACCTTTCTTTGACTTCTCGAAATTCATATAATATACTGTAGGGAAGTTATTCTTGGATTCTGTAAAGGTATAATTAGCTCTTAATGAACAATGGTAAATCTTACTTGGACACTGTGATAAGGTACAGGGTTTGGTTTGTTGGTCTTCCCCTTTGCAGGGTCGACCACCATGCAATGCTGGGGGGTGGTTGCATTGTCTGGTTCTTGTTCTTATACCATCTTCACAAGTAACAGAACAGTCTCCCCATTCACCCCAAAGACTCCAGGCACCATTGACTTCAATAGAAAAGTACCAAGTTACAACCAAGCTTTGAGATTTAACGGCATGACTACAAATACCAGATGTGGCAACCATGCCTAGACTGGTGCCTAGACTGAAGCCTGGACGAAAGGATCATCAATCAAAAACACAAACTTTTTTCAATCTGCCTCACATGCTCGAGGTACCTTTGCAGTAGAAAGACGTCTTGGTGAAAATCTTAGTTATTGCAAACTGTAAAATGTATTCATTTGCCTAATAAGGAGTAGAAAGTTAGTTAAAATTATATTTTATTTCATGGTCGTTCCATGAGGGCCGCCTGCCCCCAATGTTACCTTACCTTGGCACTGAATTCCAGCAGCTTTGTTACTGGGGCAAGTTGAAGATGAAAGAGACCATTCATTTCGTTCACACATCTGAACAGTTCGTTCATTACCGTTGCAACTTATAGAGGAAATACCATAAAGACCGTCACCATTACCAAATCGGCCATCAGTTATTGCTGGAGGAAATATAACAGTCTATGAAGGCATCACAACATCAAATTTCTCAAAAAGAAGGCTATGTCTGGTAAAAACCCCGTGGACCTGGTTCAACCAGTCCCTATGGTAGTTGAGTCACTGAGCGAACAGCTTAAACAAGGAACTCACCTTCATGTGCTGCAGGTAGACCGATCTGCTTGCAGACCATATCAGCCATTTCTAGACTCCACTGATCACTACAGATTAAACCCCATTCTTTCTTGTGGTCGTTGTATAATTCTACTCGACCTTCACCATTCTGCGACCCACCTTTGATTCTTATACCGCCTGGAGATCAAAGGTATTAATTAAACGTATTCGAAATAGCGTCACTGGCCTTTGATGGTTTATCAGATGGAGTTAGGATGTCTATGAAGATATTGTCCATTTCAGCCATTGATCTAATGATTAATTGGTCCAATGGTAGGCTAAATATAAAAAAGCCGTGTGTCTCAAGCCATTGCTTTCCAATCCTTATTTTCACCTTATGATGACAATGTAAATTTTTGAAACGTTGTGTACAATAAAACGCATTAATTTAGATTATTCTTATAGTGCACATATTTCCGGGGCGGATCAGGTTAGTGCTAAAAATAAAAAAGAATGTACGCATGGCTTGAAAAACACAAATTGTGAGGTCGAACTGCTCTGGTAACAGTAAGTATATGTACATCACTTGATACATACGCCGATCTCTCCTCAGTATCGAGGTATTCAACTTACTTTTACAGCTCATATCATAACAAGGTGTGGTACTGGTAGTACTTCCTAAACAGTATCTGTCAACACCGGGTACACCACCATTACCACATGTCCTATTCCTACTCTTAATTCCTTTACCACAGCTAGTCCTTGTTGAACATTCTCCCCATGTTCCCCACTCATTCCAACCTTAAATATCAAACACATTCCACATTGATTTCATCTATCTCTGAAAGATTTCAGGAAAGAGGAACAAGGGCGTTTTTATATTCGTAAATCATGCGCATAGTGAGGCAGCTCATGCTTAGTCGGATATTCTTACTTGATGCCACTCAGCGATCAACTTTTTCAACTCGTCAGCAGGCCCGTATAGCCGGACTTGTTTTCCGCGTTGAGATGATCGCCTAACCGTCAATAAATCTATTAGATATCGAAAGAGAGCATTTTTGAAAGCTTATTAATATTCTTGCTTATTAAATGTACGGATTCATTGAAACAATAACATACACTGATTCCACGACTGGTATAAACTTAAACTGGCCATCAATAAATTCAATACGACAAAAACATTTGTTAATCCTCTGATCTGTTCGAGACTGTAGTAATTGACCTTTGGAGCATTTGTTTGCTCCACATTGAAAAATCTTATATGTAAGTGTGACTTATTAACATTGCTTTCCAATCGTGCCTGTCCCTTCGCATACTGCAGGAAACCTCGGTTTTGTTCGAAAGAGGTCCACGACCTCAATCTGATGCAGGATCAGGAAGATTTTATCATACTCACGTGGACATTTTGTCATGGTACATTCTTGGTATTGTGTGTCCGCGGTGTTTCCAAAGCATTTGTATTTAGGAAGCGACTGTTGAGTTACTGCATCCTCACAGTTTCTAGTTCGTCTTTGCCATCCTTTATCACATGTTACAGAACAATCTTCCCATGCTTTCCACGGTCCCCAGCTGGGTAATTGCTCTGCAATAAAAATTGTAATCGTCAATACCACAGAATTGTATGGAACCTGGGGCTTACTCTTGAGAACTTAACTTAAATATGATTTTAGTGTACCAGTCATCTGATTGGTCGATCACTCAAATATAATTTAAATTTTGTTTTATTATCCAATCAGGTTACTATATTTCTTAACATCAAGATTCTATCAGGAAGAAACCCTAGATCGAAATTGCCTCCGATGTTTTTTAACCATTCTCTATACTTAGTCTATTAAGTTAACTTATTGGGTTGGGGATAGAAATGGAAAGGTTAGGGTTAGGCAGGGTAGGGGTTAGGTACTTACTTTCTGTTTCACATTGAGTTCCGGTCCATCCAGGTTCACATAAACAGATTGCCACGATATCATCTTCTGCTGTTTTAGTCTCTAGACATTTACCATGTAGGTTGCAAGGATCAATGCCACAGGGACCAAGCGCTTCCTATAAAAAAAGGCAATTAGTACCAGTTTTGTTTTAACAGCTTTCAGAAATTTAAAATTATTTTTAGTATTAGCCTATGAGTTCCGCTAGTGAGGCTATTAACCTCAGTCTTCCGATATTCTTACTTGATGCAACTCAGCGATCAACTTTTTAAACTCGACAGAAGGCCCGTAGCCAGACATGTTTGTTCGGAGGGACAAGTAATATATCCAGAAGGGCAATGGTGAATAGTGTTTTTTGCAGTAATCGAATTGGTCGGTTGTCTGAATTTTTTCGGGGCGATAATTCATTTCTTTTGGCAATTCCCCTTACAGATGTTTACCATGTCGACATGGCAATGAACATGGATCACCAAACCTCATCATATTGATCATATGTTTTAAGAAATAGTACTTACCACATCAATAGAAAAAGCATCCCTGGTATGATATTCCATGTGAATATCATCAACATATGAATCCGGATAATCCGTGTGGGTCGCCGTATGCAGATTACACGACTTATACGTTTTATTATGACTAAATGATTTGCATTTAGAATCCTTCAAACATTCATAAGAACATTGGGTCGGGTTATATTTGTGGTAAATTTTCTTATACATGTGGTCAATCAGATTTTTGCCGACCGTGTCGTAATCTTCGAAATTTTTTGTCCATTTATAGATTTTGTTGGTATATATCGATGCCTCCGTAATAAAAATGAAGCAAACCGCAAGAACAAAAAAACGGAACATTTTGAGACGTTTTCCAATATCGTCTGCACTGACTCCTGTCCCGCCGTCTTATAGTTACATATTGTATTGAGTTGCCGTCTTTAAATCCAGTGCTTTAATTGGGTGTAATTTAATAAGAAAGGGATAAAAGAAGTTGGTGATTGAGAATGAATTATAAATGAGTTAAAGGGGCTTGACCCTTTACTTAATATATTACAAGATTGTGATCAAGGGGCGTGGCCTGGTTGTGGACTGGTTTGTTTGAAAAAAAATTATGTGGAAAAGCTATTTTTTTTTTTATTTGTGGCATCTTAACTTCCCCAGCTAACACGCTTAAGATTGTCGCATGTAGCTGCTTTCGGAAACTAAAATTACTGTTAATTTGATGTCAAATCAGTTATAAGTTATGTTTGAGAAGATAGGCCTATTTATGTACATATTCTATAGTAGACGAACCGGGTGTTCTATTTAAATTTTGTGTACAAACATGTCGATTCAAAAACAAGCAAGCATTTACCTGTATCACAAATAAAAAAGGGTCGTGTGCCTTTAATATTATTTCTTATTTATGATGTGTACCAATAAGGTAGAGACTGGATAGCAGGTAATTAATTCTATATACATACCATATAATTAATTCATTATTGTGATTTCACGCTATATTGTTGTCTAATTAGCCACCAATCAATAAATCAATCACCTTAGATCACCAATATGTTCACCATAGCTGGAGATCCTTACCTTCTTCAAAATATGTGCCCCGCGTTTTATTGTTCACTATTTGTTGCGTTTCATAAAGAAATGTATTGATCTAATGGAACAATATTCTCAAAAACCAAATATGCAATGTTTGAATGACCTTTTTTACAATCTCTTTGAATATTATTTTTTGAAAAATGTCAAAAATTATTTTTTGATCTATGGCAGATATTTGAGTTTTGTTTTTTCCGACATGTAGAGATAGTCCATGTGGATATTGCCTACAAATTTCAGCCTTGTAGCTTTGTAACTTTACAAGGAAAAACTAATTTGTCATAGTAGTCAAGAGTCCAAAGTCATTATGCACTTTTGAAGATATGAGGATGGTCATGGATAAAAACCTTTATGTTTCGTCTATTCTTCGCCCGTCCCAGAAGAGATTTTCCTTCTTAATGAAATGAACCACAATTTGAATTCAGAAAGATCATTTTGAGAGAAATTTGACTGTTCAATGTGCAATGAATTATGCATTTTAACATATTAAACTGGGGTCAAAGATCAATGTTGCCTAACATTGTGTAGAAAGATATAAGTTTATTATAAATAATTATGTTATGAACGCACTGAAGATAAAATGCATAGGTCGCTGTTAATAACGCAACCAATCCTATCGGTAAAATTTCACCCGAGAAAACCCATGACCTCAGTTATACAGGTTAAAACTGCTATAAACTGAGTTTATAATTGATCTATTGCGTGTATCTGTTTTGATTTCAAAACCCATGGGAAATTAACGATGCCTTAATAAAGAATTACCAAGAATCAGTAATCAGGCAATATACCGTTAATGGTGGTCATATATACCACGGTCACAACAAACATTTCTCATTGTATTTATTCACTTTCATTATGTCCATAAGGCGCCAAATACCATACGTAAAAGTCCAGTTCCTTCTATGACTAGGCCCTCATTAGGCCTATCCCCATAAGGCGTCAAATAGTAGGACGTAATAAGCGCATTCATTGAGTGATCCGAGTGTTGCCATTCTGCAGACGGCAGACCATCTTGAAGTCGTAGTCCTGTTGTCCTTCAGTAAATACTATTTTCACTCATATGACTTGCATTTTCTGGCCCTTATCTGTTGTAAACTGTAAAAGCAGGTCAATGTAAATGAATTATTCTGATAAAGACTCTGTTAAAAATACCAGCTGTTTATTAACCATTCTCTCACTTGGTCCCCTTTTTTATATTTGAACAATTCATGGAGTTATAATTATGCGTCATCAATTGCGGATCCTCCTTCTTGTGGGTAATAAACTTTTCATATTTTACTTTTCTCACTTAGGTATCGTGTTGCAGTCTGCATAAGACTAAATGAAACGAACTATGAGCAATGTTATGCCCAACCATTCCTACTATCAAAAACCAACTTCCGTCGCGGATTGTGTTTGGGAATGGGAAAGACGCCAAAACGTTTCAACTAACCGAATCTCTAGGCTGTTGACAAACCCACGATGAACCACGATCTAAAAAGCAAGCGGCTTTTGAGAATGGCCGGCATATACCCTAACATTTCATTTGGTTGACATTTTAACAACCTTTTAAGTATTGGTGCAGAAATTTACAAATCTGCATCTGGAAAAATGCTGAAGAATGAAATGTATTTTCGTTTTTTAAGGACTAAGTCAGTTCCTCCTTGCACAAAGTACATCTCCAACAACTTCCCCTACCAGATCTCCAACAACTTCCCCTACCACATTTCCAACAACTTCCCCTACCACATTTCCAACAACTTCCCCTACAACATCTCCAACAACTTCCCCTACCACAACTCCTACAACTTCCCCTACCACAACTCCCACAACTTCCCCTACCACATCTCCAACAACTTCCACTACCACAACTCCTACAACTTT